CTGAAAATCGAGACTGAAAGCTGCGAAGGGAGATGGGCTCAGGGCTCCCTGGGCCCCCTTTGCAGCCTGGGAACCTAGGAGTGGGTATGAGAACCTGAAGGTGTGGAGAGGCCTTCTGATTTGCTGGGAGGTGTCTTGGTCCTGCCCCTGTTGAGCCTAGCGGTGCCTCAGGGACAGGACTGAGGTGGCCTTGGCTTCTTCCTTGGGTGCCTGAAGGGCAGGGGGAGCTGGCAGCCCCATCACTCTAGAGGTTCCTTCATTTTTTTCAGGCCTTGCATGTGTCTCCAGGTGCCTATGTTTGCACAGGGCTGTCTCTGGCTCTGCATGTTCCTACATGTGTGTTCCCTGTCTCCGTGAGCACAGCCTCTGGCTCTACTTGTGGGAGTCTGTTTCCACAGGTGCTTGTCACTGCAGAGGCCCCTCCATATGCACATGTAGGTTTCTATTTTTGCACCTGTCTCTTTCTCCATGTGTATCTTTGGGTCCCTGGCTGTGCATGTTTCTAAGGTGATTGTGTGTGCAGAGACAGGGTGAGGCCAGGCTCAACACTCACACACAGGAGTGGGGGTCAGGCTCACAGACGGTGCCACCCCAGGGAGCCTGTGTATGTGTGTGCCTGCCTGCATAGAGACACCATGAGTCTGGGTAAACAGGGTGAGGAGGTCGTGCTGACAGACGGTGCTGCCTGCCCTGGGACCCTGTAAGGCATCTCCATCTGTTAGCTTCCCTGGTGCAGCCCCCTCCCTCTGGTCCAGACTCGCCTTAGGCATCTTAGACTGAGCTGGACAAAGAGACATGTGTGTGCTTTCCAGGGATCCTCAGCAGCCTGCCCCCTCCAAGTCATTACAGCCTGCCTAAACTAATCATCCACCTCTACTCTGTCTTCATCTRTTAGGACCCCAGCACATGCTTCAGCTCCCACCAGACTTTACCCTCCTCTTGGCCTTGACTCAGTCAGTCCTTCCCAACCTGGCCCCTCAAAGCGTTCTGCCTCCTATGTTCAAGGGGTTCCTATTCTTGAATTCTCCCTCTTCCAGGAAGCCACCAAGGTAGCAGATAAGTAGTAGGGTCAGATTGATCAACTCCACCACTTGGGAACTTAGCTAAGCTCCCTCCACCCCCACCCCACCCTATCCTTAAACTCCCCAAAATGCTGCCTCCTCCCATGCACATATGCCCTGTCATCTACCTCTGCCCATGGGGCAACAGGACCTCCCCAAAGAAGGGAACAGGTACCCCTGCTGCATTGGTATCTATAGGCCATCACAGTTGGATGTGGGGCCATTCATGCACACGTGGGCACCCAGCACAGACGCACATGGATGTGTGCAGGTATGTCAGACCCTCAGGGTGTGTGCTCTGCTATAACTATGTATGGAGGCAGAATCTACAAACAGATGTGGAGACTGGGCTCCTGGGTGCCTCTGAAGTGTCCTGAAGTCCTGGTGTGCCTCTCTTTCCAGCCAGGATACCCTCTTGTCAGAGGATGGAGAGCCTAGCCCAAAACAGATGCTGCAGGGTGCTGCATCTTCAGAGGCAGCTGTGGGCCCTCTCACACTGTACCAGTCGCTGCAGCACCTTGTTGGTGGAACCAGAAACCTAAGTGCCTTGAGGGCTCCCTGGGGTTGGGGAGTGGGGTCCCTGGTGGGGACACAGCTAAGCTGGGGCTGAAGGGCGGTGCCCAGTTGGACCTTGGAGACGCTCACCCGCACAGACACGAACACGTGCAGCCCTTTCACAGTGGCACCGCCTCTCTGCTGTCACCATGGTTACAGGATGGCCTGGAGGGGGGAGGGGCCCTCCCATGTCGGCAGCACTGCACTGTCAGGATGGATGCATTTGGAATGGCCTCAGTGTGACCCAAGCGTCCCACTGTTGGAACGTGGGTCTATGCTGGGGTGTCCACGTGTGGRAGACACCGGGGTTTGCTTTTCAATATATGGAAACACTGCAGCTTGTGTGCAGGGGTCCATGGTGAGTGGAGCCACTGAGCCAGGAGCAGGCTGAAGGAGTGGTACTGGAGAGGTTCTCTCCCCAGGGGTACCCTTCATCTCTCTCCCCCTGCCCTGCTGGTTGAGAACACTGGGGCTGGGGTTCTACCACCTGCTTTCATCCAAGCCCACTTCTGATTTAAATGAATGACCTTGGGCAGGTTTCTAGATCTCTCTAAGCCCAGTTGCTCTTGCACCTCCTAAGGTTTTGGTAAAGATTGTTATTTTGTAAAGCATTTTAATGCATAATCTACGTCGGAGTAAATGCTCCATACATGTAATCTAACCTTTTATCCCTTGTGTCTGGGTCTGTTTTCCCAGTTATCTATGAGTTTGGAGTGACTGTATGGCATCAGCCTGAGGAATTTGTCCTGGTTCTTAACCTGAGTTGTTCAGGCCAGTGTGGACCTAGCTCTAGTGGGTACTTGGGCGGCAGGGGCGGGGGGTTTCAGTGTGCTGGTCTGATGGATGTGTCAGTTAACACCAAGGTAGGATGAGGCATGTGGCAGCCATCAGGAAACACTGCCCTCCTTGGCTATTTGTGCTGGAGACTGGAGTGGAAGAGAAGGAAGAGGCAGCAGCTGGTCACCCTGTAGGGCTGAAGTCCTCCTGTGAGAAGACTTCCTTCTTCTCCCAGAGGTGGCAGAAGAGCAGTCTTCCCAGTGCTGCCTAGAAGTCTAGATGGCACAAGGGACTGGCTTTTGGGTTTCTGCTGTTTTATGGACAGCTCTTCACACTTGCTGGTTTTAGGCTCTGGCAGCAGTGCCTGAGGGATGATCTGAGCCAAGGACGGAGCCATTGAGGKTGTGATAATTGAGGAAAGAAAATTAATTGTCCTTAATTTGGCACAAATCCCAAAGACTTTCCCCGTGTCAGGAATTCAGAGTAGACTCCCAGGACATGGCCTCAGATGTTCATTCTTCTTTCCTTCTCCTTGATCTTTACTTTGCAGGTAGAAATGAAGGCCAGCTAACTCTTGGGTCTGACTGTGGCAGACCCTGGCTACCCCCTACCCCCTCCATTTGCTGAGCAGGTAGGAATGAGGTCTAGGAAAAGCTGACCTGGTGCCCTGGTAGGTAGGATGGCTCTGGCATCCCCCAGTGTCCTCCAGCTGCTGGAGGAGAATGGGGAGGGAACCCTGGGCCTCAGGTCTTGCTTAGACTTACCTGTGAAAACAAGTGATGGAAGGACTAAAGGAAGCTATTCCTTTGCTAGGTGCATCCCACATCCTCCTCATTTCCATTCTACCTTCATTCTTTTGCTACTGTCCTTTCAAAACTCAGAGCTGAAAGTCAGGGCACCGTGGGATCATATTTACAGCCAAGGAGATGCTGGGTTTATATCCGGAATTTATAGGACTGCAAGTGAGGAAGCACAAGCCAACTCTTGGGGAAGGCTGGGGAGGAGAAGCCATCCTGGGAGTCCTCCTGCTCCCCAACCCAAGACCCTTTCTCCTGATGATCCCCAGCCCCTTTGGGATGCCCCTGACATTTGCAGTTCCCCAGAGGTCTGGCAGAAGATAGAGCCATGTCTTACCCTGCCTATTGGGGCTCCTCCAATTTCCTTTCCTCCCTATCCCCCTAATCCTTCCCCTGGGGACTCCCAAGAGTCTCCAGGGAGGGTTGGCTCTTCCAGTTTTTACTTTGTTCCCTTCCGAGGATGTTACATGCTTTTCCCCTGGTATAGGAGCCTGATCTCAGCAAGTGTCCCACTCACCCGTCTTGGGCTGGGCCTGTGGGAGAAAGGTACAGAGTGGTCTCCCTACCACAGAACCCAGCTTCTTGCCAGGAGGTGGACAAACAGCAAATATTCCTTTGCCCCATTGGGTGTGTCTGGCATCCTTGTGGCAGAGAGGCACTGATACACTTGATGGTTGTCCCAATGGGGAGGGCCTCTTGCCAGCTGAGGACAGGAAAGGGTACCACAGGCCCTGTCCTCAGTACCTATCTGCCCCAGAAATTCAGCCCTTGCTAGTTAAAATAATGTTCTGTAGTATGAATGTGGATTGTATCATATACCTCTCTGACACCTTGCATGCATTTCCAGGTGTCCTTTAGGTGGCTTTACAAGGCATATGGGGTGGCCACTTGAACCCCATGGACAGATAAAAGTAGACGCACAGAAAGACTAGAGAATGTACCTAGGTCTTAAAGTTAGTTACAGGTGGAAATGGAAATTCCACTTGGTCTATTCTAGTCCAGGACCTGACCTCCTACCTCCTCATTCTATCAAAGGGTGGGGAACAGGCTGCTGCTATCAATTCCTGTTGGTCCCACAGAAGTTAACTCCTCTGTGCGCTGCCAACTCCTGGAAAGCTGGGAGAAGGGGCAGGGAGTTTTTCCTCCTTCCACCAGTGTTTGATGTCTCCATAGAGCTTTTTTGTCATCATGCTCAGGCATGATCCCCAGGTCTGAACATAGTTCCCAGGGGCCAGACTGAGAGAGAGGGGAGGGGGAGGGAGGAGAGGGAGGTGGCTCAGGGTCAAGGCTGCTATAGAGAAKGGGTCAGGGATGGGACCAGAAGTAGAAGAGGATCAGTGATAGGGCAGGGTGCCCAGGGTCATGGCATTCTGCCGTATGTGGAGCTGAAGGGGATGCAGGTAGAWGAGGAGCACCTTGCATGCTGACTTGGTGCTGTGGGAGCTGCCCCTGCCCCTCTTTTGCAGCCTGGTGTCCATGCAGCACTTTCTGCTACAGCCAGTAGAGCATTGATCTCATTCTTCCCAGGGCCTAGAGAGAGAACTGCTGACAACTTCAGTCTGAGGCATTATTTCTGAGACCTGGAAACTCACCAAAGGGATAGGGGTGGGCCCTGCTGCAGCCCCCAGCCCTGCCAAAAGTGAGTTAGGACCCTGGTTCCTCACATCAGGGTAGGCCTCATGCTTAGAAATCAGAGGTAGGGGAAAGAGGGTTTTGTGTATCCCAGCTAACCTGGGAGTCAGGGGACACAGAGAGGTCCTGGGGGCAGGCAGGGCCAGCTCTAACATGCACRTCACTGTCTTGTCTACAGAGGAACAGCTGCCATCTGGGTTCCCCACCATCGACATGGGGCCTCAGCTGAAGGTGGTGGAGAAGGCGCGCACGGCCACCATGCTGTGTGCAGCTGGTGGGAATCCAGACCCTGAGATCTCTTGGTTCAAAGACTTCCTTCCTGTGGACCCTGCCACCAGCAATGGGCGCATCAAACAGCTGCGTTCAGGTGAGCTGAGGGCAGGGATAAAGGGGTCACAAAGACCTTGGGAAAGGCATCTTGCCAGAACCCCACACAGTCTTCCCTTTTGGGCCTAGGTGTCTGGGGCAGACCCTTCGGGCTGAGCAGAGCGCTGCCATTGGGGGAGGCTAGAACTTGTTGCAGAACTGCCTGGTCCAGGGAAGATGACTTGGTGGAGAGATCTTCTTAGCTCTGCCTATATCTTCCTGGGATTGTCAGACTCCAGACTGGACCAGTTCTGCGCCTCCCAACACATGTGACRTACTATCATGTGTGGCACGCTCTGCGAATGTGTCTGTGGGTATTCATCCTCCACTTTCCCTGTAGCCTTGCCTGAGACACGGCTGGGATGATTCTTCTTTAGACAGCAGGACTTGACTGGGAAAGAGACCAAAGATGTTTGATTCATTAGGTTTCAAAAGGCTGGACCTCAGGGGCCTGGAAACAGGGGGACTTGCTGCCATCCCTTGGCCACCAGGGCCACCTATCTCCTCTGGATTTCTCAGTCGAGCCAAGTTGGAGTCCTGGGAGCAAGGATGCCATTGTGACCAGGCAGGAGGTGTCGCCCCGTTGATCGATCTGCCTACAAGACTCCCGCCAAGAAAATTGATTCAGTTTTTGTGGGAACTGAGCGGGCGGGAAAGGAGGCTCTGAATCAGCTTGGCTGCATTCTGTATCTGCTGCCAGCTCAAGCTGGACCCATAGACCTTACTCCAGAAACCCTACCAGCTGCGGGATGGTGGTTCTTAGGCAGGATGGCCAGGAGTGGCCAGAGCCCCGCCACCTGTCTGCTGTGCTGCCAACCCTTAGAAGAACACGACTGTACCCCTCTGGGGGCCTCTGCTGGCTTTAGAAATGCCCCACCACTCCCAGGGGTGCTAGTCCCTCCCTACCAACTCCCAACAGGCACACATCCTCTTGGTGCCCAGGGAAAGGAGGGAGAGATGAGCCACCCAGTGGGGCAGGATTCTGGCCCTAGCCACGGCCGCCTGAGACAGCCCACGAAGTGTTARCTCATTTAATTTAATTAAAACTCAACAAGATGGAGGCAGCTGTAGCGCAGTTAATTAAAACAGCCATAATCAAGGCAGGAAACGGTCCGGCGGTGTTTGTGGCCGCTGCCCAGCCCTGCACAGCAGCCGGCATGRCCCAGCTCCTCTGCATTTCCTCTCAGGTCCCCCAGGCAGGCTCCCCAAGCAGCCAGACAGTTCTCCCCACAGACTTGACTCCTCCCCGGAATGGCATTGACTGACTGGCAGCAGTAGTTCTGGGAAGCCCTGCCGTCTCAAGCGTTTGTTCATCAAGTATTTATGTGCTACTCGCTGTGTGCCAGGCCTTGTGCCACCCCTTCCCTGCCCGTCATTTCACTGGGTGCTATTCAGACCTCATCTCCTTGTCCTGTCAGCAGTGGCTGACACCCTTTCCTCCACCTTGACCACTTTTTCTCACTTCTCCTGGGCTGTGCCTCTCCTGACCCCTGTCTGAGTCCCCAAGTGCCCCTCCCTTACAGCAGCATCTTTGTCTGCAGGTTCCTCCAACCCAAGAGCCTGGGAATCCAGTCCTTGCCCCATAGACACAGCCTTTCCCCAGACAGGTGAACTCACTACTCCTAGAGCTTCAGATGTTGTCCTTATCTGTAGTTCCTACCTCTGTCTTTCCAGCCCAAATAACTTAACCAGAGCTCTAGGTCACAAAATCTGTTTGCTTCCCTATATCACCCTGACTGGAACAAGTGATGACCCTCTCCCCAGTTAGTTAGGCTCTTCTCCTGTTGACCCTCTCCAGGAGTGGCATCCCCCAATCTGAAATCTGGAGGACACCCAACTCCTACTCCAGTAAAGAACAAAGTTCTCTTGGTTTATCACCCACATGGCTCTCAAATTGGTCCCCTTCTTTCCTTTCACTGCCTTTATCCTATTCTAGGGCACCAAACCCCACTCTCCCTATCTGCAGGCTTTCCTGAGAATCCATCTTCCAGCAGCTGTCAGAGATCTGCTTGTGTTCCTCCTGTGCTCTGACAACCTCAGGGGTGGACCCTGGGCCCATGACCCTTGACCAGGCCTACGTGGTCAAATACGTGCTCCTGGACAAGGCTAGCAGAACCCTTGATCTTCCCCTGCCCCTGTCTCCAGCTTTATCTCATTGGGTCCCAGCTGCACCCTTCCTAGCTCTGTGGCCCCAATTAAATGAACTTTGTCAGTTTTCTCATCTTTGAAAGAAGCTATGTTAAGTAGTGAGACAATGACTATCCGTTTACTGGCTAGCCTTTGGTAAGGGCCCTGTGAATAGAGCTCTCCCTGCCTCCTGCCACTCCCCGACTCATATTGAGCCACACTCTACCCTTGCTCACCTCTTGGCCCTCTGTTCACCTGGTTCTTCCACTTGAAGGCCTCCAACCTTCTTGGCCTCAGCCTACTCATGCAGGATTAATCCTGCTTCATGTTGTTACCATCTGGCCCCAGCTAGGCTAGGCATTCCTTCAGGGAGAACCTGCAAGGGACTAACTCTGTTTAGAGAAATGCCCCCAAGCCCAGCTATAAGTCAGGTCTCTCTGAGCCCTTGTTGAATGAATGATTTTATGAACTTGATCTTTGGTACTTGTCTCTGAAAACTAATATTCAGTCCTTGTTTGGTCATTCCTACTATCTGGAGCTGAGATTTATGGGTCATAGGGTCTAGCTTAAGGCTTAGGACAGAGCTATGTGGTACCCGAGGGGCCTCAGCATCCCATCTTTGCAGGTACAACAGGATCTCTCCCCATCCCTGCCTGACTCTTGCCTGTGACCCTGGACCCCAGTTGCTGCTGTCCTGCCTGTTACCATTTGGAAGGGTGCTGAGGCTATTTCATGCAAATTTTACAGTAACATCCCTTCATGGAGTGGAGTCAGGCCCCTGAGCACTTGGCTATTTACAAGGATCTTGATGGTTTACGCTTCACCAACAGTTTACAAAGTGCTTTCCTGCCCTTTGTTGCAGCTGACTGCTGCAACTCTGTGAAGTAGGACAGGCCGGATTAACATGCCCATTCACAGCTGAGTTAAGGAAGTCACCTGGGGTTACACATGGAGATTGGGACTCAGGTCTGAGAGCTCCCCTGGGAGGTCAACCTGGGGTCTCTGGAGTAGCTGGGGCCTCTGGAGTAGCTGGACTTTACTAGGGCTCTAGATCTGCACAGTCCCATCTTCAGGCCTCAGGCCCCCACTGGCCAGTACCAAGAAGTCCTCCATTTTCTGTTATCTGATCCCCATAGTACATCCAACTAGGATGTGGCCCCTAGAGCATGAGCTAGTCAGGGTGACTGGCAGCACATGCTGCTGAGGTGTGGATGCTGTTCTATAGCCTCTTTCTTTACTGCAGCAATGTGACTCCTGAACACTAAAATCTATGGACCACTGGAACTTGAGACCTGGCGTGGGCCCAGGGAAACAAGGATAAGTTCAGAGCATATGGAAATAGAGTCAAAAGCAGGAAGTGTTAAGCAGGCTGACTTCCAAGTGGGGCTCAAGACCACTACTGTGTTATGAGAGGTACTGTTAGCCCACAAGTTCTGCCAAGCCTGGACAGCACTTTGAGGCTTCCTGTGTTCCCATATGGCCTGAGTGAGTAAGCCTCTGTCCCTGCCATTGTAGAATGACAGTCTTACCATGTCCACAGAACCTGAACGAGACCTATAGCCTCAAGAAGAGATGGCAGCATTTGGCTGCAGGAAGAGGCCTGCTGACCCCAGCAGGAAGAATATCTACTGCCCCTTATTCTGCTAGTTAGCCCTAGTTCTTGACTGGAAGAGCCCTTCTACCTTTCTCTGCTCTGCCTGGCTGGGTCTTCCAGAAAATCACATTGTCAYTGTGTGGTCATGGTTTCCCTTTGGCCCTGAGCTCACTGGTGCCTCTTGAGCCTGAGCACACTCCTGGGGTGACTGACTAATGGGTCCCCTTTAGTTCCTTACACCTATCTTGTGAAATGGAAAAGGCAAATTCTCTCAGTTTGGTAGGGAAATTGCAGTTCTGAAAGGTCAGCAGGTTAGGTTTTGGAAGAACTGAAGCCAGGGGATGGGGGGTTCCCAGACCTGGATTGTAYACACATCCACCCCAACCTGAGCTCTGGCCCAGACCATAGGAGCATGTCTGTCAGCAGCTGTCAACTTGCAGGATCTYTACTTGTAACTATCAGATGACCTTAGGGAGCTTTGGTTTGTGTGAATTTTATCTATCAATGATTAAAACTAAAAAGATTAAAATATTTACTAATCTATTTTAAAATAAAAACCTATTATATTTTAATATAAATAACATTTTAGGTAAAAAATAATTTTCTAAAACAAAATTTAGTGAGAAGAACCTCATTGTTTTACACTTTAACAAATCTGTTTAATTTGGGGCTTGATGGAAGGCAGCTAGACTCCCATATATGCTCCTGCATTCAGCCTGTTATGCTATCACATATGGCTTGTCCTCTAAAAAACTCTGCTGTATGTTCGTGAGAGAAAGAGGGTGAATATGACAAACTATTTCCTAGTATGATAGAAATAGTTTGAATGTTGTGGACTCCTGAAAGATTCTCCGGGATCCCTGCTCAGTCACGGTGATGATTCTTTCCACTTCTCAGTGCACCCCTCAGACATACCCCTGTCCCAGCAGCTGCCTTTGCCTTCTCCCAGGTTTTGTCTGCAGGAGGCGGTCTTGTCCAGTGGGAAGGCTGTGAGCAGGATGGACTGATCAAATCCTGCCACCTCACTTACAGACTGTGTCCTTGGGCTTTGGGCAAGCTGCTTAATATTTCTCAGCCTCTCTTTTCTCCTGTATGTATAGAGTGGGTTTTCCTCCAGGTGGACATTGTCAGTTTCGGGGAGACCATGAATGGTGTGTGTCTCTCTGCACACTTCCATCCCCCAGAAGCTGGCAGGAAAGGACAGGGTAGATGGAGTTAGTCCTGCTCTACCCCTAAGTTCCCCACTCCTGAATAAGGCAGTGGTTGAACAGGGGGCCTGAGCCTCAGAGGAGGGACCCGTCAAAAGGAACCTGCTTGGATGTCGTAAGAGTCATGGATTTGGAGGGCAAGTGCCTGATCCTTTTTTTGCTGTCAGTTCCCAGGGTTATGAGGCATTAGGCAAGGAGTGGGCACTGGCCTCTACCTCTCAYCAGTCAGGCTAAGGGGTCTTGGCAGTCCTTCCATCTTTAGCAAGGTCGGGTGGACTTCCTAGGGAGACTGCTGTGGGATATGAGTTGATTGCCATTTCCAATGCCAGCTGTGGGCTGGTCTGTTTGTGAGACATGGTCTGGTGCTGACCTGTGGGAACACCCCGACCCCACACCTAACCCTACCTTCTTGCTGCTCAAACTCCCCAGGTTTGGTCTTGGTAAGTCCTGTGTTTGCAAACTTATTTCCCTATGGTATTTGGGTGGAATGCAGAGGGCGGTTGCTGCCTCTTTTCTTTCCTTTCCCCTCCATTTGCCCAACTAGCAGGAGCTGCAGGAACCCTGACAAACCTTCTTGACTCCTGTCACCCCCAGCCCTGCTAACTCCTGCCTCACCTCCTCAGAGCAGTGCCAGTGACCTGGGGAACACGCTTCACCTTCACTCAGCATAGCCCAACCTGGTGCTTGCTCACACATCTGTGTGGGCTGAACTCAGGCCTCAAGTTCTCCATATATTTAAGGCCCTTTCTTGTGTTTTATTTTATCTGATTTGGCTTTGTGTGGCTTTCCTTTCTTTTGTACTAATGCTTCTCTCTGATCTTATTTGCATTCAAATTACCTCGCCAGGTGGTTCACCAATCAGAGGTAAGAATGCTGTCCGTGCATCTCTCCACACCACACCTCCGCCACTGCTGTCACCTCCACTCCATCCCGTCCAGTCCGTCACCTCCCCATCCCCATCCCGACCTCTCCAGCCTCTTCATTTCCAGCTCCAGCCCCACAACACCACCAGCCACCACACACCTCCACTCAGTCATTCCCTCCTGTGGACTCATTCATTGCAAGTCTGAGTTGTGGAGAAAGTAGCGGAGCCCTGCCTTGGATGGCAAGCCCTGCTGCCCACACCTTCCAGGCAGCCCCACAGAAGGGACCCAGCTGTCTCCCACAGTGAAACCCAGCTTGCCCCTAAGGCTGGCCATAAATGGAGATGCTTCCTATAGATTAGAGAGCATAGCTAAACCTTGCCTGTCCCTTTGAACATCTTTTTCTTGGGGAATCTCAATTATTACTTGACTTCCCCTTTAGTGTCTTGGTCCTGTAGTTAAATAAGAATCATCCCTTAAGTTCCTTCAGCCTTGCATTGACTAGAAGAAATATTCATTGCTTAAGACTTGAGATACTGGGATGACAACAGGGAAATAAACAGGCTCAGACATAACTAGGTCCCCTGACCTGTCAGCTTAGAGTCCTGCCAAGCTACATTCATGTAACAGGTCCCTGCAAACTAGTGGTTAGAAAGCAGATTCTGGATTCATTGGATCTAGGTGCAAGTCTAACTCGCCACCTGTGTGATCTTTAAAAAAAATTGACCATCTCTCATTTACTCCTCTTTGAATTAGGGCCAAGGCCACCTACACACAGGTCCATCCAAATTAGAGGAGAGAATGATAATGTGAATGGCATCTTGTAAAACTGTGGCTTTTGTTTTTAATCCTGTTATTTTTCTCCCARCATTCCTCAGTGTTTGTGGGTATATCTTGGCCTTCAGAGTTCAAGGCCAGGGTACTCMAGGCAGAAGTTCAGGGTAGGAAGGGAAGTTGCCTTATTGCCATCACCTGAGGACAGGACTCACTTCACCTGCATCCCTCCAGATCTCCCTATGCCCCTCAGGTTCTCCCCACACATCCACTCAGCACATTCTGACTCTGTACACTCCCTACTGCTGGGTCTTGGTGTTGGTATCAGATTTGGGGGTTTCCATGTTCAGGTAGTCACAGGGTCTGTGTTGGGGCTCCTGACTAATCTTAGGCTTGCGTTAAAAGGCAGCTTCCCCCTCCCATGGGCTGGAATCCTACCCAGGCAGCACTTCCTGCCCCCAGCCTGTGTTACTAGCCACTCAGTCTCCCTTGAACCCCTGCTAAGCTGACCTTACGGCAGCCCCCACCAGTCAGGGGCCTGGCCCTCACCTGCTTGAATGAACATTTTCTGTAACAGTGTCCATCCATCCCATAAACATGACCTGTTGGGGGTGCATCAGGGCCGTTCTTGCAGGAGATGGTATTTGGCGTGTGCACTAGGCTCTGATACTCCTGATGCCAGTGGGAGGTCTGAATTCAGGACCACAGAAACAGGCCAGTCCTTTGTCCTTCATTGGTGGCACTCCCTCTCCCTCCAACTCCCAGCCCCTTGGTTGCTGCCCAGGGAGTAGATGAAAGAGGGATGCTTGATCATAAAGGGGCTATAGCTTGCACCCACTGTGGTGCTCCCCTTGGGCCTGGGCTGTGAGAACATGGCTTGGAACTCTTCCTGTGGCTCCTATTCAGTCCACTTATGTGGGGCCTAGCAAGTTCTGTTTGTCCTGTGTAGGTGTGATCATCAGTCACTCCAGGTTCTGGGGTGGGGGTGGGGACTATTAGGGTCATTCTGGTTGTTCTGTACAGGAGGTGGTTTTCTGTCAGACTGTGTCCTGTGGGGATTATTAACTATCCGTTGGACTGTCCTGTGTGGGTGTAATTGTCTGTCGGACTGTTCCAGGGAGGGGCATGTTGCTTCTGTGCCCCATGGGTTTTTCTGTCACCAATAGCTTGCCCAGAGTATTCTCATAGTTTTTTTAAAGTGTTAGTTACTAGGGCTGGGAGCTGGCCAAGGCAAGTGGTTTCACCCCTATTCTGGCCCTCTACCTTGACTCCCCTACCTGGACCAGCCAGGACTGGCCCGAAGCCCCAGTTCCCTCCATCCTCTGGGAAGGTTTTTTTCCAGCTGCGCTCCCTGCCCCCCGCCCCCCACAGTCCTGGCTCCTGTCTGTCCGTCTGTGGCCAGAGCAGCCCCTCAGGGTGCTGGCCAGAGTGGGAGCTGCAGCCTCCATTAGCCTCCTGAATTATGCAGGAGCCATGGTGGGTCGAAGCACTTTAGCAGGACCAGGCTGAGGAAAGGAGCCGGAATGGGTGGGGCCAGCAGCATGGGGTGAAGTGGGAGGGGAGGATGGGGGCCAGAGCAAAGGCTGTTGGACAGCAGGCCCCTCAGGCAAGCCCTTTCCTTCCTGGTGGGCACCAGAGCCTCAGGTTCTTACCTGATGAGGGCATTGCATGCTTAGGAATCCCAGGTGGGCAGGTCTACAAGGCCACTCTTGCACCTGGCTCCAAGTTGCCCGGCAGGCCTTGTGTTCAGAAGCACTAAAGGCTTGATCACTGGTAACAGGCTCCAGGACTGGCAGGAGTGTGATGGATACCTAGTGGAATTGGGAATAGGGTGCATCCCCTGCTGGAGCAGAGTTTGGCCTGCAGAGTGGGTGGGATTGTGCTCCAAAGCACAATCCTTGGTTGTAGCCTGGAGGTTAACTGGCTTTTCAGGGAGAGTTTCCTGGAAGCAGCACAGGTGCCAAAGGGTGTGGCCCAGGAGAGCTGCAACATCTGGTCGACACAAACCACAGACGCTGTTAAGACCTCATGTTCCAGGTCACACTCAACTTGGCCATGGCTGACCACTCTATTTGTGTTCCTACAGGTGCCTTGCAGATTGAGAGCAGCGAAGAGTCAGACCAAGGCAAGTACGAGTGTGTGGCAACCAACTCAGCAGGCACACGCTACTCGGCCCCTGCGAACCTGTATGTGCGAGGTAAGAACTTGGCAGTGCCTGGCCTCTATCACCATGGAGCTGAGCTGCACCTGCCAGACATGCCGCCTGGAGCCCTTGGTGCAGACACTCAAGGGACTGCCATGGGCCCAGACTCTCCTTTCCTTCTCTTTTAGCAGCAGCGGCAGCGGCAGCAGCTCCCATTGGGTAGGCTCATAGTGTCTGCCACAACTTGCCTTCTTTCCCTGCAGGCCCTTGAGGAAGCGGCCCCTCTTGGGAGCATTTGTATTTCTTGTAGGTCCTTGCTATATGGGCCCAGAGCCCTATGGGAGTCTGGAGCATTCCAAGTGGACTTCTTGGTGTGTGTATTGTGTGTGTACCATGTATCTGCAGGCCAGTGTAATTTGCGTGTGCACACCTGGCCTGGCTTTCCTCCAGTCTGTCCTCCTGCCTACTCTAGCAGGGTGGGCTCTTGGCCCACTCTGGATTTTGAGGCAGTCAGTCTTCAAATGGACCAGGTGAGCCTGACCCTTGGGGTCTTCCTGGAGGAGGCTGCTATTCTGTATCATCAGCCAGACCCTTTGTGAAGGGGGGCAGACTGAGGCAGCTGTGAGTGCCTGCAGGTACATTGCTTTGGGTGAGCACCTAGTGTGTTTGTGTGTTCCTTATTGGGATTGAGTGAATTGTGTGTTCTTCAAAGTCTAGGTACTTGAAAGAGGGGAGCTGGAGACTTGTTTTGGGGTGTCAGTTCTCTGATATGCTCACAGCCTAGAGGCAACCAAAGCCAACTATCTTTCCCCTTCTTGAGRACACACTGGGTCTTGTGTGACAGGTGCCCTGGAAGGACCCCTAGAAGGCCTTCCTACCCACCACTGTCCCTTACTTAGCCCTCTTGCACAGAGGGATGTCACTAGAAGTTAAACTGTCTCTTCTCAGGGGGCTTGTAAAGGAAAGCGAGGCAACATCGCCTCAGTGAGAGCAAGTGCTCAGTGCCATCTTAGAGGCCATCTGACTGCCCCCTTTCCTCTCCCCAGTGCATGGGGCAGGGGTGATGACAGTTGGCCTGTGCTATTCTTCGGGGCCATTTGATCAGACTTTGGTGAATTCAGAGAGGCCAGAGAGAATTAGCCCATCAGCTAACAAGTACTTATTAAGGGTCTGCTATATATCAGGGCAGGGGGTGGTTATGGAAAGGTCACATGCTGCCTGCCCATTTGGTGACCAGTCAAGCTGTGTAAGAGCTGTTTGTGATAGGCAAATTGTGCTCCCGAGACAAGTGAAGATGCTTCATGGGAGTTGGGATGGGAAGTTGCCATCGCCCTGCTCGTTGTTAGCTGTCTCAGCTCAGCAAGGCTCAGTTGAGCTGACCTAGTGCCTGTCTTCAGGATCAGGAGCCCAAGAACCTCTCAAATGGCTGAGAGGAATGGAACCTTCACCCCATGCTGATCCCTCTAAGAGATTAGCAGCTGGAAAGACCCTTCTCAGTGCCCAGTCTCCTCCCACTCCACCATATCATGAATGTGTGTGCTCTCAACTGTGTGCTTTTCCTAAAGACTGTAGTAGGGCTGGGATTTCAGAGGTCCCAGGCCTTAACAAGGAAAGCCCTGTCTGCATGTGGCTATGTGAGGCAGAGGAGAGGCCCAGAAGAGCCACTGTAAACAATAAGCAAGCTGTGCAGTGTGGCCCTGTGGACACATTTTTGGGAATAGAACTGCAGAGGCACTACTAAAGCAGAAGGCTCAAACTGGAGAAGGATGGACTCTTCTTGTCCTTTTAGTTGGGAAGTCACTGTGACTCACTGTCATCCTGGTCTCCACCCTGGAAGTGACACAGTGGTTCTCCTTGGAGGTGGGCTAAGCGGGCAGCTCAGGCCCTCAGTGACTCCTTCTTGGAGCATCCCTGTTTACAGTGCCCCTGCTGYCCACATGTGGTAGGTTCAGGCAGGACCCTGACTGGCTCCTGCCGTGGCCTATACCCCCCACCAGGTGTTCTTAAATTCACCTTCCTGGCTCCATTCTCAAGACTTTTTTTGCCAGGGAATGTGGGGGTTCCTTTAGTTTCAGCTTATTTTTCCAGGGATACTAAAACAGCCAGCCTTGCTTCTGCTGTTCCCCATGCCCCATGGGCCCTAATTAAATATAAGGACAACTCCAAATCCTCTCTTCCCAGGRTCTACCTCATATCAAGGCCCCAGCTAATCTACACCTTCCCTCCTTTGCCAAGCGTAACAGGCCCAGGACAGGTTACACCTTTCTGATAAGTCTTCTGCTTACTTGAAAAGTCTTGCTCCCTAAGACCCTCTCCTCTTGTTCCTGGCAAAGCCCCCTTGCCTTCCACCCCTGCTCCTCTGGGACAAGCCTGTATTGTGTTGGCCCTCAGTTCTATATTCTAAACCCTAGTTGTAAGCAGGCAGCCATGGCAGAACCCCTCTCAGTGCCAGCCTACCTTGGCCTGTGCCCCACCTGTCCCCCAGCACAGTGGCTTCCAGGCTTCTTTCCACTGCAGACTCGTGTTACCCTCCAGAGGGGAAGGCCACCTCTGGGCTTCAACTCTGTCTAGGCATGAGCCTCTGTCCAGGTGGGTATGGACTCTAGCTGCAAGGTTCCTCAACCCCAGCACTGTTGACATTTTGGACTGGATAATTCATGGTTGAGGATAATTCTTGGTACCGTACATAGTTGGATATTTAGTAGCATTCGTGGCCAGCTAAATACCAGTAGTCAAATCAACCCGGATAACCAAAACTCTTGCCAGACATCACCAAGTGTAACCTGAGGAGAATTGCCCCAGTTGAGCCCCCCTGTTCTGGATCAATAGTCTCATGCTGACATTGTCTCCATCAACTCTGACTCTCCGTTCCTCTGCATCCATTGAGCCCTGGGCCTTGTCTCTTCCTCAGACTTGGCTTTAATGTCTGTCTCATATTCCTCCTCTGTTCCCCAAACTCTCAGGGCTCCTACTGCCTCTCTGAGTTCTTGTGGCTGCTACACTGGATGGGACAGGACGTGTAAAGCTCCCAGCATGCCGGCAGGCCTGTAGGAAGCATCTGAGAGCCAGTTGCCCTGCTGCCGTGAGGAGGCACCAGGCGGCGGGGGGGTGGGGGTGAGGGCCTCACACAGTTACATCTGACTTTGTTCACAGTTGGCCACAGTTCCACCCACAGTCTTGCAGGCCCAGGCACGCTGGGTGAACCAGCCTCTTTCTCCGTCACCATCTGACTCCCTCCTTGAGTGACTCATTCTCTCCTTCCATCCACAGTGTCTCTTTCTTCCAGCTCTCAGGCGCACAGCTGCCAGGGCCAGAGTGGGACCCCACCCTCCACAAAGCCTGGCCTACCTACACCACGTCCAACAAACTTCCCATTCTCTGCAGGGACCTGGCTGCTGGGCTGCAGCTGTCTAAAATGGACTGGAGCTGATGCCTCCTGACCTTCCTCCCCACAGGCGCCCAGATGTGCTCCTCACACTGGTGGGGTGCAGCGTGAGGCTTTCTCAAGGCGGCGGGGTTCTAGTGGCTCATATGCCTTGGTGGGTTTGTGGGCTGGGTGGGCCCTGACCCCAGAGCCCAGTTCACCGGGTCTGTCTGAGCCTTGGGGTGTGCGAAGCATGGGGACTGGCCCGTGCTCCATTTCCACCCCTCCTGGTTCTGCCTTTGGTGTCCCTGGCACCTGCCATTGGGCCCCAGCCCTGTCCACCATGTCCTCCATGAGTCCTGAGTCTTTTGTGAGCGGCGTGGTCCGTGTGCACCTGTGTGCACGTGTGTGTGTGCGAGGGGGCACAGGAGTCTTGTCTCGTCTCCGTGCTGTGTGGGCAGATGAAGGTTGGCCTGTTTTTACTCTCTCTGTGTTTCTCCTTGTCTTTTTTTTATTCCCTCCTCATCCTCATCGCACTCTGCCATCAACCCAAACTCTCATCTCTCAGATCAGCGAGAAGGTTGGTCCTTTTCACTTCTTATCCATCTACAGTTCGCCCGTCGACGGGATGTTCCCGTCAGTTGGGACCAGCGGGCTTGGTCAGCTCCCTCAGACTCACTCCAGCTGTGCCTGCCCGCCAGTCGGCTCTGCTTGTCATTGGGTCGGCAGGCAGGCAGGACCAGGGATGGGTGGGTAGGTCCCCGGCCCTGCATGTTTCTGCTGCTTGAGTTCCTGATGCACCATGTGTCTGCATGTTCCCTTAGCGGGCTCCTCTGCTGGAGTGGTAGGGCAGGCATGGCGCATGGCATGAAACTATGCCATCTTTGCACTTGAGCCAGGCCAACTATCTTCCAGGTGGTTGTGGGGGAGCTGTGTTTAGAGGAAGCTGTAAAGGCTGTAGTGTTTGACATGTACTGGGGGTGGTGAGACTTTCTACAACCTCCTCACTTATATACAGGCCACGTTTGCCTGTGCAAAGCCGGAACTACTGGTAGACAGAATGGGCTGTCCCTTGGAGATCTTGCAGCACCAAACAAAAGTCCCATAATGTCTGCCTTGCCCTTGAGGACCCCAAAGCCCTTACCAAGGCTCAGTGAGGTAGACCAGGACTGGCTAGTCTGAAACAGAAGCCAGCACATCTCTGCCTCTGGAACAGGGCAAGTGGCATCATCTTGGCTCACTGAGGAAGTCTCCTTCATTGTTGTCTTTCWTCTCTCCAGCTAGATCGATTTTAAGGTCATGCCTTCCACCCAAGCCTCCCGGCACCCTTGTGTCTGTCTGAGGGTGGAATGTAGTTAGTTCAGCTAATGGTCCTTAGCCCTTGGTACAGGATGTTCAGACCCAAGTTGCTTACACCTAAAGTGACTGAGCAGTCAACTACAACTTAGCAAGGCCATGTGGGAGTCTAGAAATGGCCCCCAAGTTGGCCTCGTGTTGGGAAGGGCCTTCTGCAGACAACCCAAGCTCTTTCCAGAGCAGTTCCTTTGGGGCTCAGTTTCAGCTCCACCCTTTGAGCCAGTGCTGGGCCGGCAGTCATTCACATGTCACGTGGTCTTACAGGGTCGGTGGAGTCTCTCCTGTTCACTAGGCTTTGGGGGTTCAGGGCAGAAACATAGGACAGGCTGAGTGAGCCCCAGAGAGCAGACGTAAGTCACCTGTCCCCCCTGCATCATGCTCTGTGGCTTGAGTTTCCCCCGTGAGGGAGAGGGAGCCAGTCAAGAGGAGGACTGCAGCCTGGGCTCAGATATCAGCCCTAAGCATCCATCCATATGCACTCCCGAGCTCTGGGGCATTTCGGTTACACCATTTCGCTGACCATGCGAATCTGCCAGGGCGTTCAGAAAACAATTGTCGACAGACAGCCCAGCCTGCAGCCACTCTGGCCCCCACACCCCTTCACCCACTCTCTGGGTCCTTTATCCCTTCCCTTCCCCCATCCCACTCCCCACCCTGTGGTCCCACCAAAAATAAGCATAGACACAAATATTTAATGGGAAGGAGAAATGAGTTTCTAAATATTCCGGGGGGATTTGCCGGGCTGGTAATTTGTTTGGTGCTGATAATTGCATCTTACATTTTTCCAGCTTTACTTAAAACTGTGTGCCGGGTGCGCCAGCATTTAATTACTGCTCTGCGGCAGCCACAAGGTTATTTATTAAAGAGTTATTTTATCTTGATACAGTGGATCCTGCCCCTTATCCCCTCCTTAATGTTGTGTTATTTTCATCAGAGAAATTTCCGCGAGTGAATGCAGATTGCGGGGCTGCCTCCCCCTGCGATTAGGCTGTCACTCCACTGAATGCTGATGCCTCTGGGTGCCGCACCGCCCTATTATAGGGGGTTGTCAGTGCAAATAATTAGACTTAAAAGTTACATCTGAAATATAATCCAGAAATGGCAGGGCCCTGTTTTGGAAATTGTCTATAAAATGTCAGCACTAAGGATGCACGGGGAACAGTAATAGACCAGCATTGTTGGAGCCTGAGATTAGACCCTAAGTGCATTTTTCCCAGCTCCAGTTTTTCCTTCCCTGCTGTTGCTTCTGTCAATAGACTGAGTCCAGGGTGAGTCCTGCCTCTTTGGAGGCCTTGTGCTTGTGACAGCAGGAGGAGAATGGTGGGGTTGCTGCAGTGAGGCATCAGCCTCTCCTGGCTGTTGGCACGGGGGTGGCTATCTGGGCAGGTCTAGGACCCAGGGCCCCGTTGCCACTTGGGATACCAGGAGGTTGTCTCTTGCCCCTCTTTTCCCTACCCTTACCTCTGTGGACATGCTGACCTCTCCCAACACATGGGATGAGATGTCTGAGCTCCAGGAAACCCCACTCCAGGATTCCTTGTATGTGACTAGAACCTGGTGCCCCTATGAGAGTGGAGGTGGTACTCCTAGGGGCCTCTTGCTTGGTGCTAGGAATCACCTAAGGGTCACATCCAACCTCACCCTCATCTTGAAGTTTTTCCTATTACCTGCATCCAGGAGGGGGAAAATAAAAACAAAACCATTTGTAGAGTTGTTTCCTTCAGGGAATCAATTTTCTGACAGTGGATGGAGTTGGAGGCTTTTGAAGGAGTGGCCCAGGAGGTTGACACAATGTCCAGGGCCAGTTTACAAGGTCTGCATTTGGCCTGAAGACCTCATCCTCCAGGGACTAATTGGGGGTAAAGTCCATTCAAGTGTCCGGGCTGTTTAGGTTCCCGCCCAAGGTTTATTGGCCAAGGCCCTACTTTCTTTTTTTGGAGCTTTTGGTTTCAGCATCCAAGGACCCAATCTGGCTTCAGGATTCTACCACTGACCAGAGTCGAACTTTCAGCCATGACCTCTCCCCTGGCACAGGCTGTAGAAGCCCCACTCTCATGCCAGCTAGAGGCACCTCTTGCCAGCCTTGGCTAATCCTGAAGCTTCTCCCCATAACCTTCTGGGCGTCTTTTCAGGCCTGCCAGCCAGGGCTCTAAAGGGTGTGAGCTTTTCACAACAAAAACCTACTCTTACTACATATATAGAGGTAGGCATGCCCCTTCAAGTGTTAGTATTATCTATCCTCTTGTGCATAATCAGAACGTGGCAACATGGGACCCTCTCCGAACACTAGTGCTCAAGTAGCTTCTCAAACCTGTTTTCATGCCCCTCAGCAGGAGGAGATGGGACAGATACTGGCCAGGAGGACAGAGACCTGGTCAGCCTTAGCTACTCCTCTGGGCTGGACCCCTCCCTTCCTTGGCAGGCCTGGGCCTGGCCTGCACACAATCCTCCCTGTCTGTGCCTCACCTTCCAGCACCCGCCCCTGGGGCTGGCTCTGGAGCCCAGGGAGTGCCTGCACCCCAGGCTGGCGACAGTTCTGTCTGTCTTCTGGCCTCACCTTGTGCCAGTTGAAGGACATGCTGAAAGGAGACTGTGTGTTGCTGTGAGGCACTTGCCAGCCACGCCCCAGACCCACCTGTTTGCCCTGAGAACTACTGTGTCTGTAACATGGTGTCGTCGTTGTCGTCAGTGTGGACTCCCAGCATTAGAACAGATGACAAAAACCAACTTATACCAAAAGAAGAACATGGAGTCTCTTGTGTTGAAAAACTTAAAAAAAAAAAAAAAAAAAAATGGAGTAGATTTGATGTTGGACAGGGCTGGAGCCAGGTGTTCATGAACAGTTTGGTCAGGCCTTTCTCTTAGCTTTATTCTTGCTGCTGACTTCTTTGTTCTCCAATAAATACTCCTGTGTGTTGAGAAAGGTGATCCTGGCCTCTCCAAGCTTAGCTACCCTTGTAGAGAGAGAGTCTGCTGACAATTTGTACAAATGTCCAAACACTTATTAGGCAGATCTGGGCCATACACTTTGTGTGCCACAGATAGGAGCTGAGATGGCTCACCTGTGGAAAATGAGAGTGGGGCTAGGGGTGGAGCTCAGTGGTAGAGTGCTTGTCTAGCACACGTGAAGCCCTGGGTTTGAATCTCAGCACCCGAAACAGGAATATAATATTGCTGATTCTGGGAGAAGGAAGAACTCTGGATATCTGCAAGACACCCAGAAACTCCACGTGAGCCTGGAGACAGACTCAGCCCATGAACTGATCATCAGGGCCTGCTCAGGGAACCGCTGGTGTTGTGGTTCTGTCTGGAGGACTCCGATTGAGGCATGCTATGGGAGGAGTTGAACCAGGTGCCGAGCAAGATCTTCTTGTCCCCTGGTAGAGGAACATTGAGGAACCATGCAGGAACTTGGCAGGGGAGTGGACAATTCATGCTTTCCTGTCTGTGAAGGGCCAGTTGAGGGCAGGCAGAAAATGACATGGCAGGTGGATCAGTGAAGACTCCACTACAGTTACCCAGAGGGGAGAGAGTAGTGGCTTGGATTTGGTGGTGGCAGTTACCCATGTATTTGGACAGAAATAAATAGATTTGAAAGATATTTTAAGCAGCAGCATTAGCAGGACCTGGTGACTTGCTGAACATCTTGGTTCTGGGTTTCAGTTTTGAACCCTGTGAGGTCAGAGGTGGGATCTGGTGATCTCTGCAGTAGCTTTCAGCTCGGATTCTRTGGTCTGGGGCTGGGTGAGGTGTTCCTGATGTGGTACCCCGGGTCCTCTGCATGCCTGGGATCTCCACAAGGATCCTCAGAGGCCAGCACTCTTAAGTAGTACCCTTGAGTCCCTTAGCCTCACTGCCTGCCTTCTCCAACCCTGTGTGTAAGGGTGCCCATATAGGACACACCCAAGCCTCTGCCCACCAGCTGCACGACCTGTCTGCATGCCAAGCATGCCGTGCATGGCTAAGTCTTGTCTGCCTTCCCTCTCTCTGCATGCTCTGAATGTCTGCCAAGCTTGCGACTTCGGGGGTGGTTCCAGGATGCATCCTGGACTCAGAAGCTCAAAACAGCTTCTGGCCAGGGGAGTCCAAGGCTGGAGGTGGTGGCCAGGCACAGTCACCCTCCCCCTTGAGACCCTTGTTCACTGGCGCAGAGAGCCATCTGTTTGGCGCCTTCATCATGTTACTGCCATCGTCATGCCCATCCTGCCCGCGGACCACGTCCCTGGCCCGCCCCAGCCCCTTGCCCTGGCCTAGCCCTACTGAGAGGCAGCCCTTCTTCTTGGGTCCCAGGCTGTACCTTAAGCACAGCCAAGGCCTGGCAGGTGGTCATTCACTTCCTCTTCTCTTCCTCTTGGGCCACAGCCTGGAGGTGGAGGCAGTGACTACATAGAAGGAGGCCATGTTACTCCCAGACTGACCCTCTGCCCTCCCCCAGCCATGCTCCAAGGACCCTCATCCCAGGGCCTGCAYTTCTCTCACTGGTGTCCCAGCCACTCCCCCTGGAGACACATGGGGAGGTGGGTCAGGAGCAAGCAGGGGCAGCCACTGAGGAACAGCCTGAGTCATGGCCCTGGCCAGGTCTGGACCTTGTGCTAAACCTATGTGTGACCCTGGGCAGACAAGACTTTTCTGGGCCTCGGTTTCCCAGGCTGTAAAACAGGAGCTTGGTTGTGAGAGCTCTCATGAGGATATTGTGTTCCAGACGGTCCCTGAGAGCAGGGCTACCTCTAACCCCAATGCACTGTGGGAGATGGCGAGCCAGGGCCCAGTGATGGCACCCCTCCTGTTTCTGAGTGTGGGCTTGGCTCTGACAAGGGGGACTTCCTGGATGAGGGGCCCCTGCCCTTTCATCCACCCTCGTGTYCTGCCTGGCCTGTGAGTGCCTCTCTCCCTCCTCCCGCAGTGCGCCGTGTGGCTCCTCGTTTCTCCATCCCTCCTAGCAGCCAGGAGGTGATGCCAGGTGGCAGTGTGAACCTGACTTGTGTTGCGGTGGGTGCACCCATGCCTTATGTGAAGTGGATGATGGGGGCCGAAGAGCTCACCAAGGAGGATGAGATGCCTGTCGGCCGCAACGTGCTGGAGCTCAGCAATGTTGTGCGCTCTGCCAACTACACCTGTGTGGCCATCTCCTCGCTGGGCATGATTGAAGCCACAGCCCAGGTCACAGTGAAAGGTGAGTGTAATGGATGCTCTGGTGGCTAGTGCCCTGCTTTGTTGCAGAGGACTCTAGGAGACCCTGGTGTCTGTGACAGGTGAGTATGAGCTGGCTTCTGGGGAAACATCCAGGGCTTTAGATGGCATTACCATTTCCTGAGTGCCCTAGCCATGGGGTCTTCTGGGTTCTGGGAAGTAGGAGGGATTTCTGTTATCTATAATCTGAATGAGAATAGCTAGCATGCCTGAGTACCTGGGTGGCAGGATCATGCTAGTAAGCATTTTATTTTGCTTTGTTTTTTAATTGCTCTGAGAGATAGATGCTCTTATTATCCTAGTTTTATAAGTGAGAAAATTGAAGCACAGAGAGGCTATGTCATTTGCCTAGGGTCAAACAGGAGGAGCAGACAGCGCAGGAATGTCAGTTGTGGTGGTCTAAATCTACAGCCCACCTCCATAACCACTACATACCCTGGAATCAAACATTCCCAGCAAGAAGGTTATAGAAATGGTAGCTAAGCAGCAAGGAGTGGGTTCACTCTGCCTGAGGCATTGGGCACAGACACATGTATGTAACATGTATATAACACTTATGTAAGGGATTCCTGCTTGGTCTATTATTTGCTTCTTCTCTGAACCATTCTCTATTCTGTGACTTGTTTTTTTTTTTTTAGTTGTCGATGGACCTTTATTTTATTTGTTTTTATGTGGTACTGAGGATCTAACCCAGTGCCTCACTCATGCAAGGCAAGCACTCTACCTCGGTACCATAACCCCAGCTCTTGTGTGTGTTTTTTAAAGATATAAACCAGTATCTTATTATCCTCCCTCTTTTGGAGTCAGGACACTGTGCATGCTAGGCAAGTGCTTTACCACCAAGCTGTACCCCTAGCTCCATGTCGTTTGCTTTTAAAAAAAGAGAGAGAGAGCTTTCAGTGGCTTCCATTGCTCTCAGGATATATAGATCAGGATCCTCACTGTGGTCCCCCAGGGCCTATTGGCTGCCAGCTTGTTAGTTCTCTCACTGGAATGTAAGCTCCATGAGAGCAAGGCTGCAGCAGCATGGCATTGTGGCTCCAGGGCAATSCTGGCCCTTGGTGGGTACCATCTATTCGTTGAAAGTGTGGACCTGGGACATATTTAAACTAGGGCATGGGGTCTGTTAGGGCTAGTGGCTCCATCACTCAGGATAATCTCCCCTGCCCTCCTTCTGTCACACATACTTGCCACTGGTGTGTGCAGGTGAGCTCAGAGGCAAAGCTCTGCTACCTGGTCTGGATGCTTTTCATCCAYGGGCAACTTCAGAGTCCCCTTGTCACCTCTGGGTCTGTTTGTTAGGTGAATTGGGGGGGCCTATGTGGGACTGCAGTGAGTATGAGTCTCAGGCATGACATGTTACATACTAAATGACCCCAAGCCCTGGGAGCACTAACAGGCCTAGCTATGGTCCCTCACTAGGTGCCCTCAGAGGTCATTGTGAGCTTTTCAGGCCATTATTCAAAGTGGGATATACTCTGGTGTCCATACTAGGTGGTCTTAGATGATGCCCAAGGTTATGATTGGTTCCTGGGGTCACGACCTTAGGCAGCCCTGAGTCATCTGCTTTGTCCCCAGCTTTGCCGAAGCCTCCGATTGATCTTATGGTCACAGAGACAACTGCCACCAGTGTCACCCTGACCTGGGACTCTGGGAACTCAGAGCCTGTATCATACTACGGCATCCAGTACCGTGCCACTGGCACAGAAGGCCCCTTCCAGGAGGTGGATGGTGTAGCCACCACCCGCTACAGCATTGGTGGCCTCAGCCCTTTCTCAGAATATGCCTTTCGTGTGTTGGCGGTGAACAGCATCGGGCGAGGGCCACCGAGTGAGGCCGTGCGGGCACGCACGGGTGAGCAGGCACCCTCCAGTCCTCCGCGTCGCGTGCAGGCCCGCATGCTGAGCGCCAGCACCATGCTGGTGCAGTGGGAGCCACCTGAGGAGCCGAATGGCCTGGTGCGCGGATACCGTGTCTATTATACTCCAGACTCCCGCCGCCCCCTGAGTGCCTGGCACAAGCACAATACTGATGCAGGGCTCCTCACCACTGTGGGCAGCCTGCTGCCTGGCATCACCTACAGCCTGCGTGTGCTCGCCTTTACTGCCGTGGGTGATGGCCCACCCAGCCCCACCATCCAGGTCAAGACGCAACAGGGAGGTAGGTTGGGGTGTCTGCTGACTGGACAGCCCACTGCAGAGGTGGGGTGAGCTGGGACTGTGACAGGCTGTGCGGCTGGGAGTGGGTAAAGGTGCCCTATTCCATAGATATGTGGTCACTTGGGATGCAGGACAAGAGTGTGAGAGTGAAGCTTGCTTTCCTGGGCGCCCCTGCTGTTGGGGGTGTGGCGAGGCTGACAGTGCCTGGGGTGGGGTGTTGCAGTGCCTGCACAGCCCGCGGACTTCCAGGCTGAGGCTGAGTCGGACACCAGGATCCAGCTTTCATGGCTGCTGCCCCCGCAGGAGCGGATCATCAAATATGAGCTGGTATACTGGGCAGCAGAGAATGAAGGCCAGCAGGTGAGCCACAAGGCTGGGAAGGGCACAGGGTGGAGGGGGCTCCTCCTGGTCAGGGAGTCTAATTGGCTCACCCAGGCAAGATTTTTGGGGTTCTGTGGCTCACATGGGCATATCCTCTAGGGTTTCTCCTTGGAGTTTTGATTCACACTGCCTGTGTGGTTCTGTAGGCTTTGCCATCCCTGTGCTTCAAGTCTGCCATTGGATCTCCTASGCTCTGTGACTCAAGTGACCTTGACACAGCTCAGACGTTTCCTTGGGGTTACGTGGCCCATGTCTGTGAGGCACCGGTGGCATGGGCCAGCCATGCTTTTCTTGTAGGGTCCACGTGACCTGTGTGGAGCCAGTCCTGAAGCCACAGTGTGTCCCTGGGTGCAGGTTGCAGCCTGCGTGGGGAGCAGCATCTGGCCTTGGAGGTCAGAACAGTCAGTGAGTGCTCCCTGCTCTTCCAGCACAAGGTGACCTTCGACCCCACCTCCTCCTACACTTTAGAGGACCTGAAGCCCGACACGCTGTACCGCTTCCAGCTGGCTGCCCGCTCAGATGTGGGTGTGGGCGTCTTCACCCCCATCATAGAGGCCCGCACAGCGCAGTCCAGTAAGTGTCTTCTGAGACTACTGCCTGTCACCTCTTGCTGGGGGCACACAACACACATACCCTTCCCTCTTGATCAGGTGGGTGGTCTACTCTGATGGGTCTAGCACATAACTCTGGTCTGGGCTCTTAAGTCTGGACCCCAAGAATGAGACAGGTAAGTGCCCCTAGTCTGTATACAGGTGGTGGCTGTTCCCCCTGCTCCCTGCCCAGCCTTTTGACCCTCACCTGCCCCTGTACCCCCTCACCCAACCCAGGTAAGTTCTATGTCTGTGACTCACTCCATCCTCCATCCCGCTCACACTGGGTCACACTAGTGACTTGGTGGGCCAGCCATGTCCCAGACTTGTTTTGGTGGCTGTCTTCCCTCCCTATGTCCCCACATCTCATCCACCCCATCCCCTTCCTCATAACCGCACCATGAGAGTTACCATGAGCTTTATAATACCTCTGAGCCTACTGCACTTGGGGACAGGTCTGCGACAATGTGTTTTAGAGACAGAATGTGCCCCCATGTCTGTGTGTGGGACCACAACATTCACATGACAACTGATTGGCATTATGTTTTACTGTATTCTGCCTGTGTGAGACTCTGACAGTGTGACTGCATGTGAGATACCACCTGACCATCTGGCTGTGCAGCCCCTTTATGCATGTCAGTGTATCCTGGGTGTGGCTCCCTGTGGCTCCGTGGTGACCCTGTGACCATGTCTGAGGGTCTCTGGAGCTCTCTAGATGACAGACTGAGAGAGCATGTGTGTAACTCTGTCTGTGATCACCCAACAAGAATGGGCCACTGTGTCAAGGCTTTCTATTTGATAAAATGGCAGTGGGTGTGACTGGCTGGGCACCATGGGACTTAGTGACCACATGTAATGACCATAAATACGCAGTGTCTGTGAAGTCTTTATGATGTAGGACTGTGCGTAACAACCAGTGATGTCCAGAGGCTGACTGTGACCTTGTGTTCGTGGATTCATACTAGAAGCGTCTAAGTGCTGCTGGGGGCCAGGCCCCATGCATAGTGCAGACAAAGGTGGGAGCCAGCTGGGGAGCAGGAGCAGTGAGCATGGCAGCCAACAGGCTGGGAAATCGGGAGGGCAAATCAAGGGTGAGCAGGAGACCATTGTAGCCAGAGTGGCTGCTAGAGCCATAGCAGTCCAGCCCTAAGGACAGAGGACTGGCTCTGGCTCTGTGAGAATGGACAAGACAGATTGAGATGAAGCAGAAGACCACTTAGGAGGTTTTGCAGTGTTCTAGGCAGAAGGTAAAGGGGCTCAGATGAGGTGGTGTGGCAGATTAGAGAGATCTCTGGGGTGTCAGCTGGCCCGGATTTGATAATGAATAACATGATGGGGGGTTGAGGGAAAGGGAAGCAGAGGTTCATCTTATTACTGGTTTGTGAGTCCTACAAGAAGAGTGCCACCACCAGAATAGCAAACGGACAGACCAGGTTTGAAGAGTATGTCTGGTTTCAGACATCCAAGTTCAAGATGCCACATGCTAGCCAAGTTGGGGTACATGGCCGGTCCTGGGATGGAAGAGGACCTGAAAGACGGAAGTGGGAGGAAATCTAGAGAGAAGTGGTTTGGAGGTTACAAGAAAAGGAAGTTTCAAGCGGTAAACCAGAGGCTGCTATGGAGTGGCCAGGAAAAGGAACGCAGGCCTTCCTGCTGGATCTGGTGGTGTGGAAGAGTGGGCCTGGATGAAAGTTGTGGCATTGTGAGGACTGTGTGGGAGGTGAGGAAGTAGGACAGCAAGCTCAGATGCTGTCAGGAAACTCAGCAATGAGGGGGACCGTGGTAGCCAGAGGAGGCTGTGCACTGAGGATGATGTTTTCTTTTAAGATGGGAAAATTTCAAGCATATTTAAATATTATTGGGAGAGAATCAATAGAACAAAATAGGAAGCTTAGTTAAAGAAGGGTAACTGGTGGAGTCTCAGGAGATGGAGAGAAAGTAAGGGCAGACATGGGTGATGGGAGACCATGGCCTCAGTGTGGCGTGAAAGAATAGGTGCAAATGCACATAGGTGGGTGGCTCTGGTAGCAAGAAATGACAGGAGCTGCTTGTGGAAGGCATGGTCACATGCTGGCAGGCAAAGGGGGCTAAAGGTTTGGGGGGTGTGGAGAACGTTGATTGGGTCCCATGGCAAGTAGCAGAGTGAGCCCGTAGAGAACAGACACCAGCAAGCAGCACAGAGGTCCTCAGGGAGACCACTAGGGACAGGCTCCTGGGCAGCAGCCTCCATGGAGAGGTGGCKTTTTTGTTTGTTTTATCTGCTCTGGTGCTGCCTCAGAGAAGGCAAAGAGTTGTCCTCTTACAGCTTGGTGTGGGCCAGGTCGAGATGGAAAGATGAGGAAGTGAGAGAGTTTGGGATATTGGTGAGAGTGGTGAGCTGGTGACCTTGGAGTTGAAGCTGGATAATAAGGGCAGCAAGGATGGCAGTGGATGGATGGTGGTCTGAGGGCTGAAGAGTCATAGTGCTGGGGGCCTGGGGACAGCTAAGCTGGAACAAGAGGTGGGGTCTGCAGGGGAAGATAGAAGTTTTGGAGGTAGGGTCCTTCCCAGCAGTGGCGATGTACAAGGCAGGGCCATAGCCGTGCAGGGGAGAGGAAAGCCCTAGAGATAAGGGGCTCTGGAGCCAGTGAGTCAAGGAGCTGCTAAAGTCACCCAGACACAGGGGTGGTGACAGAACTTGAGATGGAGAGGAAGCCTCTGCATTGGCAGCAGTTTCCTCAGTGGACATACGAGTCTGGAAATGTAACTGGGCATGTCATGGACACATCTGCCTCCTGAACCCYAAGGAACCTGTCGGGTGACAGCACCTCCACTAGGTACTTTTTCTCTAAACCCCAGGGGCTGCTGGCCTTCTGCAAGACCGGAGCTGTATTCTCCGTATTCTGATGCACACTGTGCATGTGTTGTGCAGACAGCATATGTATGGGACAGACGCTGTTAGAACTCCATATGCATGTGTGAGACACTGTGTGAGTGAGACAGGAGAGAGCCCATCATAGTTCAAAGAGAGTCAGGCTGTCCTCTTGACAATGTGGCAGCCTGTCTAGAGGGACCCCCATGATGTCCCTTTCAGCACTTGAAGTAGCCTGTCAGGGTGAGTCTCCCGTCCACTATGACTTGGTCACCATGCCTGTGATTCCCCACCCTCCATCTGCCTGCTTTCCCCCCATTTGTCTTCCCCAGCCCCCTCCGCCCCTCCCCAGAAGGTGACATGTGTGAGCACGGGTTCCACCACGGTCCGGGTAAGTTGGGTCCCACCGCCAGTGAACAGCCGCAACGGCATTATCACGCAGTACTCCGTGGCTTATGAGGCGGTGGACGGCGAGGACCGCGGGCGACATGTGGTGGATGGCATCAGCCGTGAGCATTTCAGCTGGGACCTGGTGGGCCTGGAGAAGTGGACCGAGTACCGGGTGTGGGTGCGGGCACACACAGATGTGGGCCCTGGCCCGGAGAGCAGCCCGGTGCTGGTGCGCACCGACGAGGACGGTAGGTGGTGGTGGCAGGAGGAAGGGCGGGGGAGGGGAGGCACACTGCCTCAGACATCACCCACCAAGCACCCAGGGCCTTTCCTTTTCAAGCCCCTGCAGATTCTTATCTCCTGGTACAAACTTTGTGGCCCACACKGGGGAAATGTAGCTGATGAGACAACCCATGCCTAAGTCCCAGGTTTTGGGCTTTCTCCAGAGCATCTGAAGTCTTTAAAAGACTATGGTAGGAGAAGCAGGCCCACTTAAGATTCAAGAGGTCAAAACTAGGAAAATTGCTGCAAAAGACTCTCAAAGTAGAGTCAGCATAACTCAAGCTTGGCTGGACATTGGCATACCAGGAAGAGTTGGTACAGGTCGTGCTGACTTTGAGATAGCTAAAGGCCTGGTGCCTCACCTCCACCTGTTCCCTCACATCTTCTCTCCTCCCAAATGMGGTATCCCTGCCAGAGGGGTTGGCTCCTCCCTGTGGCAGGGAGTGGATTCTTCACCAGGATAGACGCCCTAAGGAAATGACATTAGGTCTTTTCCTGGGAGAGAGGGGTGCAGAGGCAAGGCCCTGGAGTTTGCTGTGCCCACCTGAGCCAAGATCAGTACAACCAGGTCTGACTTCCTTTTCTACTTGGCCCCCAGTGCCCAGTGGGCCACCAAGGAAGGTGGAGGTGGAGCCGCTGAACTCCACTGCCGTGCATGTCTCCTGGAAGCTGCCTATCCCCAGCAAGCAGCATGGCCAGATTCGAGGCTACCAGGTCACCTATGTGCGTCTAGAGAATGGCGAGCCCCGAGGTCCACCCATCATCCAAGATGTCATGCTGTCTGAGGCCCAGGTGCGCCATTGTGTGGTGGTGGGTGGAAGGGTGAACAGCGACCAGCATACACTGCTTTCCATTTGGAGCCCAGATGTGCTTCCCACCCCTGCCTGTCCTCAGGGGTGCTATGTCTGCCTTTTCTGGTCATGACACCAGAAATATACTGCTGCAGCAGGGGTGAGGGCACTGGCACTGGGAGGTGAGGGCCAGATTCCACCTTCTCTCTCTGTCTTAGGGCTGCCCAGACTGTGCCAACCTCAGTCCTGGTAGGAGTCTCAGTGGTTTAGCCACAGCCCTCACAGTGAGGGGCTCCGTCTCCACAGACCCCAGGCCTTTGTGGTTTGCAGGAAGCAAATGCAGTGTGGTGGTTGGACTGGACCTTGCAGATTCAATTTCCTTCCAGGCGGTGCTGTGCAAGGTATCCACTCTGCCACAACCAGAGGTAGATAGCGGCTTTTGAGGCTGTGTTATTCCTACCCCCTTTGGCCATAGGCCAGTGGCCAATGCCAATCTCTGAATGGCCAAGCTGGGTGTTACTGTGCTCCCGACCCCCATGAGGAAGACCCAGACCCTGATGTTTCTCTCAGGGGCAGGGCCTGCCAGCTAACCTGCCTCACACTAACCTATGTGAGTGTCTGTTCTCTTGCGAGTGATGGTGATTTTTCCGCCCATGAGCTTGGGGTGAGGTCCCTGGGGTATTCTGAGCACTAGTTTGCTATTACGATGAAGAATATACAGCACCAAGAAGCTATGTGAGTAGCCAGAATTACCAAGCAAGTGGGTAGCTGAACTTGAATAAAAAGCCAAGTCTCTGGACTACTGGAAAAAGACTGCAATTGTCCTGAAATAGTGGCACATGCCTGTAATCCCAGCAGCTTGGGAGGCTGAGGCAGGGAGATCCCAAGTTCAAAGCCAGCCTCAGCAACTTGGTGAGGCCCTAAGCTCCTTAGCAAGACCCTGTCTCAAAATTACAAAAATTAAAAGGGCTGGGGATGTGGCCCAGGGATTAATCTCTGGTAGGAAAAACAAAAGAGTTATAACTACTGGTGTGGTCTGCTGTCAAGATGTTTCCATCCAGAATCAGGACCTGGGCCAGTGCTAAGCCAGACCTAGCAGGAGGAGCTTGGAGTCCCTCCCTGTGCAGCTTCTCACCTCTCCCTGGGATTACAGCAGGGATATGAGCATGTACTCCACGCTGTGTGGGTTTCACTGAAGTGTAGGCTCACCCACTACAACCTCCAGTTGGGCTTATCCCTCTGAGGCAAAATTCCTTTCTTCCCTGAGTGTCCTTTCCTCCTCTTAGCATGTCCCATGCTGAGGGACCAAAGGGGTGGAGGGTGGGGTGTGTGTACCCCCTGCATTCCTAGGGCAGGTTAAGGGCTCCTCAGGAAGCCTCAGCAGACACACCCACCTAGAAACATCCCAGGAATGGTCTCCCTCAAGCCCCTCCCATCCTAGAGGGCCACCATCACAGCTGGGGCCAGCACKGCAACTGAAGCCAGTAGGGTTTCAGAGCAGTCATTTAGGGTGCCCCCTTCTGGTCCCAAGCTGTTTGGAAGGGAGCTGGACCAGAAGATCAGGAGCACTATCCTCTTAACCATATGTCCTTGATGGGGAGTACACCCGGGCAAGGGAGATCACTAAAGACAGGTCCTGCCCTTGCCACCCCCTGGGTATGGTCATTTTGCTCCAAGCCAGTAGGAGAGCAGATGGGGCCTGGTCCGCAGCCTGGCCACAGGACCCAGCTGTCCTTTCTGCTTCCCTGTCAAGGACACAGCAGCCTGTTCTTCTCTACCCAGCAGCACCATCTGCTCAGCCCAGGGCCCCCATCAGTACAGAAAGAACCGTTTGATACATATGCCCCTGACCCCTGAGTGTACAGCCAGATCTGTCTCCTGTGTTGATTCTGTGTCAGGCTTGTCACTATTTTGGTTTTTGTTGTTGTTTTTTTGTTTGTTTGTTTCTTCTTCTTCTGGGGATTAAGCCCAGAGCCTTACAAATGCTAGGCTAGTGCTCTACCACTGAACTGCAGTCCCCAGCCCCAGGCTTGTTGCTATTTCTGTTGGTTTCTGACTCCATCTCATTGTCTTCTTTTGTCCCTTTTTCATGGTCTCTGTCCTCACTGCTCTGGTTTTTCCAGCTCAGCCTCTTCCCTCTCCTCTCTCCCTTTCTCCTCCTGCCACTTCTCTGTTCCCTGCCTTGTCTCTGATTCCATTTTATTTGACCCTCTCCTTCCCTTTTCCCTCACTCTGCCTCTAACATGTGAGAACGCCATGTGCAGGCCTGGCCTAGACAGCTCAGGCCTCCCTGCAACAAGGAAATGGGAACAGAGCCCAGCCCCACCCTGCAGAGTGGCCTTAACTGTTAGGAACCTATCAAGCATCTTCCCATACTGTGTTCCAAAGACTTTGCAGTAGAGCTTGCCAGCACAGGAGGAGTGTAGGTCAGCTCTGTGAGGGTGGCCAGGCTGKGGGGCCCCATGGCTTCTATAGCCTGGAGGTACTGTAAATCATCTTCCTGTGCCATGCTTTATTGGCCCGCCTGGGCCCTCCAGAACCACAGACTGTCAGAACAGAGGCCTCAGTACCCCTCCAACCACCTACGTGCACCAACGGACTAAAGGATTTACTAAGAAATCGCAACACTGCCAGCCCTAGAAACTGGCTGGCCTTCCTAGCTCAATGCTCAGGCACCCACAGAAGGGAGCAGGTGTGTCAGGGGCTCTGGTGCCTGTGGGCAGTGCCCAGGCTCTAAGCTGAACACTCATGACCTTCATAATCTTGCTAGCTAATCTGCCCCTTGACCCACCCCAGCCACCATGCATCTCTTATGTTCTGGGATGCTCCTTATACTCAGGTGGCTATAATTTGTTGTTCCAACTTTGAGAGTGAAAAGAGGCCTTGATTAATCATACCAAGACACATGTAGACTGGAACTACCAAGCTGTGTGGTCATCCCACTCACCCCTCAGTCTTTTCCCTGTTCTCTGCCTGTGCTCTCAAACCCACTCCACACCCGTAGCCTCTRTTGCAGAGGGTCTCTACCTAGAGTTCTCTGACCCTCAGTTTCAGCTCCTCCACCGCTTCAGGCTGTCTGCCCTCCAGGATTCCCAGCCCTTGTCTGTGTTCAGTGAGGCAGGGACTTGAATCTTTGGATGGGAATTTGTCCTGGGCTGCTACCCCTATGGGCACTTCAGAGGTCCAAGGCCTCTATCTGTCCTCCATGGGCCAGGACCTCTCCAGGCCAGAATCCTTCACCATCCTGTCTCCCTTTTTCTCCCTCTCCCACGGTCAGTGGCGGCCAGAGGAGTCCGAGGACTATGTAAGTAAAGGTGTGCGAGCGTGGGCAAGACTGGGTCAGGCTGGGCTCATGGGACACTCCCCCTCTCCCTTCTCTCCTCCCAGCCTGTGTTGCCAAGATCCACAGGGCACCAACCACATCTGGAGAAAATTGGCGTTTAGACAGGAGCACCAAGCTGAGCAGCGATTGGCGTTTCCTCTAATCCTTACTTCTCGCCTGTCGAGCAGCAATTTGAAGCCAATGTTCATGATCGACCAGGGCCTGGCCCCTGCTCCGGCCAGACAGGGATGGAGTTAAATCCAATCCTGATCGTTAGGCCTTATTGATCCTGAGTGAAAAATCACCTGCTTAGGGCGCAGGCTGGGACAAGAGTCTAGGGAGCTGGGTCGGGCATTGGTGCTGCTGGAGCCCCAGCCCTGGGAGACCCTCCAGCTGGGGCAGGAAGAGGCCTGTGAGGGGCTGTTGGTAGCTGCCATGACTCCACCTGAGGCTCAGAGCTGGAGGGACACCAGGGTTGGTGGTGGCAGCCCTGTTCCCACTGCACGGTGGTCCCCTCTCTTCTTCCCACTCTTCTCCCTGTGTGGCGTGGCTTGGTCCCCCTGTGCTATTTCTCCGCATGTCCAGAAACGATGCCTTTGCTGGAAATGGGTGGGAAGACATGCCCTGGCTGACTTCTTAGGAATCAGTGGGAACATGGGAAGCGAGTCCCCCAGGTGTAGGGGAGCTCCTTGTCTTCTTCCTGTCTTTCCTTACTCCCTCAGGTGTAGGGTGTTGCAGGGAATGGTTGTTCACAGAGTCAGTGGCCCAGGGGTGGTGAGCTGTGATCCTGACTAGTAGGGTGGGGCCCCTCCACCCTGGTGTGTGTGTGTGTGTGTGTGTGTGTGTGTGTTAATGTCCGCAGGTGTGTGCAGGCAGAGCTGTAGTCTCTGTGCATGTGAGTGCCGGTAGCCATGCAGGTGCTGGGTATGTGTGAGGTTCTGCCCTGTGAGAATGTGTGCAGGGCCCTCTTGAGGTGCCATTTACAGCCCGACAGAGTTGAGGAAACAGCATGGCCCTTTGTTCTTGTCTGAAAGGAAGAATGATCAGTCTGTCCCAGGCCTGTGGCTCCTGGAATGGGTGGGATCCTCTCGGCCCTCATTCTACCTGGCTGCCCTACCTCGGCAGTCCAGCATTTCACAGCCTAACCTCCCAGGACCTCTGGCCCTGTGTGCCTGGGGCCTCCCTGCAGGCTAGGGTCCTGAGGTAGCTGACACAGTCTGACCTCTTCTGATGGGAACGGCCCCTCCTCCTCCCTCAGGAAACCACCATCAGCAGCCTCACCCCAGAGACTACCTACTCCATTACTGTCGCTGCCTACACCACCAAGGGGGATGGTGCCCGAAGCAAGCCCAAAATTGTTACAACAACTGGGGCAGGTGAGTGAGGGGTCAGGGGCAGAGCTGAGGGTGGGCATTGGAGAGGGCAGCACCAGAGTCCAGTGCGTGGTTGTTTAGTCCCAGGCCGACCCACCATGATGGTCAGCACCACAGCCATGAACACGGCGCTACTTCAGTGGCACCCACCCAAGGAGCTGCCTGGTGAGCTGCTGGGCTACCGGTTGCAATACCGCCGGGCCGATGAGGCGCGGCCTAACACCATAGATTTTGGCAAAGATGATCAGCACTTTACAGTCACCGGTCTGCACAAGGGGGCCACCTACATCTTCCGGCTTGCTGCCAAGAACCGGGCCGGCCCAGGCGAGGAGTTCGAGAAGGAGATTACAACCCCTGAGGACGTGCCTAGTGGCTTTCCCCAAAACCTGCGAGTGACAGGACTGACCACGACTACCACAGAATTGGCCTGGGACCCACCAGTGCTAGCAGAGAGGAATGGGCGCATCACCAACTACACTGTGGTGTACCGTGACATCAATAGCCAGCAGGAGCTGCAGAACATCTCTGCTGACACACACCTTACTCTGTCTGGCCTCAAGCCGGACACCACTTACGACATCAAGGTCCGTGCACGTACCAGCAAAGGCGCCGGTCCACTCAGCCCCAGTATCCAGTCCCGGACCATGCCTGTGGAGCAAGGTGTGTGCTGTGGGCATGGCAATGCCTGCCCAAATGTGGCTACGCCTGGGGACCTCTGCTCTCTTGACCCACTGACCTCTGGCAACTGTGATCCACCAGCCTCTGCTGTGTGACCCCTCAATTTCTCATGACTGTGACTACTAATCTCTAGTGAACAGGCACCATGTTTTTGGGTGTGAGACCCCTGACTTCTGCTGTCCTTGACCTACTGACCTGCTGCGTGACCTTTCAATTTCTTGTGACTTTGACCCACTGATCTCTTTGATTCCATCACCATTCTTGGGTGTACAGCCTACTGATCTTTGGTTTATAGCACTAATCTCTAAAACCCACTGACCTCTAGTGAACATGCTCCACCGTGCCCTGGTATGGCCATGTGCTTCTCACGACCATTATCCACTGACACCTGGCCTCTAACTTGGTGTCTGTGAGTTCAAGCTTTTACCCATGCTCTTCTGGAGATTTCTGGCAATTGGTGCTGTAGCATCCGCTACCCTGTTCAGTGCTCACTGTGGAAGAGCTTGGGCTGGGAGTTGAACTGTGCCATTTGAAGCTGGCTGGGAATGGGGGTGCTTGGTTCTCTGAAGCTGTTCCTAAACCCCTATTTCCCAATAATGTCTCATTCTCTGGCTCATTCACCCYACTCCAGATAGCCAGCAAAAGCTGACTTCCTCCTTGTGCCTCCACAGTGTTTGCTAAGAACTTCCGTGTGGCAGCTGCAATGAAGACATCTGTGCTGCTCAGCTGGGAGGTCCCTGACTCCTACAAGTCTGCTGTGCCCTTCAAGGTGGGTAAGGGCCACAATCAGTCAGACCACTCCACACAGGCCTTCTGTGTGCTGTCATTCATTCCAATTCCCAGTCCACATGTGCATGTGTCTGTGAACTGGGTCCTGGTTCACATCCTGTGCCTTGTAGGCGCACGGTAGGAACTTCACTCAGGCACTGCCAAGCTCCCCCTCTCATCTCCTGCAGATTCTGTACAATGGACAAAGTGTGGAGGTGGATGGGCACTCGATGCGGAAGCTGATCGCAGACCTGCAGCCTAACACAGAGTACTCATTTGTGCTGATGAACCGTGGCAGCAGTGCGGGAGGCCTGCAGCACCTGGTGTCCATCCGCACGGCTCCTGATCTCCTGCCACACAAGCCACTGCCTGCTTCTGCCTACATAGAGGATGGCCGCTTTGCCCTCTCTATGCCTCAAGTGGAGGACCCCTCACTGGTCAAGTATGCAGGGGCTGGTGGCAGGAGTAGGGCATGGATGCAGGCTGCTGTTGATGGCTGTACTGATTCCTGCTCTGCCCACGCAGGTGGTTCTACATCGTGGTGGTGCCCATTGACCGTGTGGGTGGAAACATGCTCACACCAAGATGGAACACACCTGAGGAGCTGGAGCTGGATGAGGTGCCTGGGGGAGGGGACTGGCACTAATGATACCCCACGCAGTTTGGCAGTAGCCACCTTGCCCTGAGTGTATCCTAGTGGACTCTCTTGGGTCCCCTACCCCAATTGAAATCACTCTTATGTCTGCCCTGGCTGGCAGCCTGTCTCCTCCCTAGAGAGAGGGACTCTAGGGGAAAGCCTCTGAGAGTATTCAGAGACTCCTGAAAGACTGTGGAGAATGCCTGGGAAGTGTTTGGGGAGAATCCCCTGTGGTGGGTAACAGCGGGGATGTTTCCATAGCTATAGTCTGAGCTCTGTAGACTTTCGAGAATCCTACGTATATGGAGACCATGGAGAGGCTGGAATGAGCCTTAAGCTTGTTTTCCTGGGACACGTGAAGTCTTCTATTCTCTCCTTACAGCTTATTTGGAAACTGTCTCTCTGGTTAGGATAAGATTCCCATAAGGCTTCTCATGGGCTGGCGGGAGGGGTACCATTGTGGTATCTGGCATTATTATGTACCTGCAGTGGCCAGGCCATGGCCCCAGGAACAGCATGCTTAAAGACCCTGTGTGACTCTGTGCTCTGTTTTGCCAGCTTCTGGAAGCTATTGAGCAGGGTGGTGAGGAGCGGCGGCGGCGGCGGCGACAGACAGAACGGTTAAAGCCGTATGTAGCTGCTCAGGTGGATGTGCTCCCCGAGACTTTTACCCTAGGGGACAAGAAGAGCTACCGAGGCTTCTACAACCGACCCCTGTCTCCAGACCTGAGTTACCAGTGCTTCGTGCTTGCCTCCCTGAAGGAACCTGTGGATCAGGTCTGCCTGAGCCAGCTTGGCTCTCAGCACCCAAGACCCCAGACCTGACCTAAGACTAGGCCAGTCTCAAACATGAGGAGAYCCCAGGTCTAGGTGGCCCCTGAGACCTAAGATGTGTACTAAGTTTCCCAGGACACTAGGTGGCAAGACCCAAAAGGCCAGACCCGATTTGGCCCAGGAACCCAATCCTGCTGCCCAGCCTTAGGTCAACCTCTTAGGGTTTAGAAAACCAGGCCAGGGCCAGCCCAGTGTAACCCAGCCCCAGCACCTTCTCTGCAGGTTTGATGGGCAGAGGGTGGGTTGAAGGGCTGAGCTCACCACCTGTGCTGTTCCTCTGCTGCGCCACAGAAGCGCTATGCCTCCAGCCCCTACTCGGATGAGATCGTGGTACAGGTGACACCAGCCCAGCAGCAGGAGGAGCCCGAGATGCTGTGGGTGACAGGCCCCGTCCTGGCAGTCATCCTCATCATACTCATTGTCATCGCCATCCTCCTGTTCAAGAGGTGAGTGCTGCGCTCAGGGACCCTGGGGACAGTGCCTGCCCCTCACCTCAAAGGCCCTTTCTGAGTACAGTGCATTGGAGTAAGTGCAGCCATCCCAACCTGGCCTCTGGCCCCCCAGGCACAGTGGGAAACCAGGATGGGCAGCAGCATCTGTTTGTGTGTGCACCTGTGTCTGCTTGTATGCACCTGTCTGGTGGGGAGCCTCTGTGTGCCTGTCAGCCTGAGTGTGAAGAGGGGCTGAGGATCTCAAGAGAGCTGTTTCGTGTACATCCCTGGGCATCTGTCTGTCTGTCTCTGTCTGAGTGTGAGTGAGTCTGTCTCCTCTTCCAGACACCAAGATTTCCTGGTCCCCTAGTTTCAGCACTTCCTGCCACTCTTCCTACATGGTTTACCAGCCATGCTCTCCTATTTAGGCCCAGAGAGGTCAAGACCGAGGCGCAGGAACACATCCCCACAGATTTTCCCTTAGCAAATATTAACTGAAGGCCCACTGTGCCAAAACTATATTGGTCTCTGTCTTTAACATTCAGTCCTCTCTTCTGGATAGTTGCAGCCACCTGCCCCTGAAGTTTTCCCTTCTGTCTACTTCCAAGTCTCCGAGGTTTTTCCAGAGATTTAACTTCACAATTTTTTTTTTGCTGTGCTGGGGATGGAATCCAGGGTCTCAGACATGCTAGGCAATCGCTCTACCACTGAGCTGCACCCACAGAGATTTAATGTTGTCACTCTCCGTTTAAAACCTTTTGGTGGCTTCAAAGATAAAGCCCAGCGTCTTCCGTCTAACAGTTGAATACCTGGCTAATCTGGTCCCTGCCTCCACTCTTGACATCATCACACCTAACTAATGCAGTTCCCAGGACAGTGGAGTCTGAGCCCTTCTCCACTCTGCAGCTCTCCCTTCTGCACCCCGCTGCTTCCTCGTCCTTGAAGACTCACTTCAAGGTGCTGGTACCCAGGGGGCCTTCTCTGGCACCCCATCCTTTCCCTACACAGCCATGCCTCTGCTCCAGAATGCTCCATTGGACACATTCTAGGCCTGTGGTACAGTGTGTTGAGCCTCCAATCCTTGGCCCTGGGCAGAGCACATAAGCATGTCTGAGAGCACCTGGCAGAAGGATGTGTGCTGGTCTGTGTGTCTGGCGCATCTCCATGGAGGAGTGCCTGTCTCCTGCCCCATCTCTCCCCTGCCTGGACCAGTGCCCCTTCTGGAGAGCTCACACCTAGGGGTGGGCCTTGAGGAGTACCTCCTATACCCACTCATCCTTCCCACTCCCATTTGGATCATGGTGTCTATGCAAAAGAGAGCCCCCTCCCTGTGAATGTCACATGGGATAAGGATCCCACAGCGTCCCCCGGTCGTGTAAGGGCTGAGTGCTTGGCAGAAACAATGATCATTCCTTTCTTCTGTCCTTGCCTGTCTTTCGGGACCTAGTAAACAAGAAAGGTAGGAGTTGTTCCTTCTCCCTTCACACGCCTCCCTTCTACTTCTTATCCCTGTGTACATGTCAGGCCAGCAGGGAGGGACGGTGTTCTGACCAGAAGCCTCTTGACCTGTTGCTTTAAGCAGCAAACTGTCCAGTCAACACAACAGGCTCCCCGGTTCAGAACGAATCCTCATTGGTATAAGGGGCAGGCCTTGTTGCTGTCTTGCCCTTTCGACTCCATACACTCCACAGAGGATGCTCCTCCCCGCAGGACACATGCACGATGCAGCTTCATTGCTTCCCCTGAGTCCTCAGAGCTCACCAGAACCTTCCCCAGGCTCCCAGTTCTCGGAGAAGTTACCTCAGTGCTGCAAGAGACTGTCTTGCTCCACTGTGCAGAGCAGCAGGGAACGGTGTCCGGATGCACACACACCGCAGTACACTCGGCAGCTCCCCCAGTACACATGTGCAGACTGCAAGGGGCCCCAGGGTGTTTCTCAGCAGCTGGATCCTATAGTCTGACCCTGTCCTTGTGGATGGGAAAGTGGAAGCCAGTGGGACAGGACTCTACCTGGCTAGATGACACCTTTCCCGTCCCTCCCCTGCTGCTCTGGGCATTTACCCTGATACCTGGAGAGCCAGACAGCTGGGGCCCAGTCCCCTGTGATGTTTGTGTATTTTATATGTCATTTGCATGTTTCTTCCTGGTGGCTTCTGCTGCCTCAGCTGTGGTCATCTTGGGGATAGCAGCCACTGCCCAGCAGTGACCTGCCTTCTGTCCAAAGGAGCCAACAGCCTCTGTGACCCTTTCCTTCCTTGCTGCACTACCTGCTCTGTCTACTCCACACTCCTGCTGTCTCCCTACCCCATCCCTACTCTGTGTTCCTTCATGTTGAGGCTGCTCTGCCCTTGGTTCCTCCATGCTCAGAGGACCGTAGTATGAGGTGGGGCAGTGGGCGGGTAGAACTGTGAACATGGGGGCTCCATTGCAGCTGGCTGGCCTTGACCTGGACCTTGACATGGTTGACATCCCTCTGCCTTTTTAGGAAAAGGACCCACTCCCCATCATCAAAGGATGAGCAATCAATTGGGCTGAAGGACTCCCTCCTGGCCCACTCCTCTGACCCTGTGGAGATGCGAAGACTCAACTACCAGACCCCAGGTAGGGCAGCTTCCCCAGGCTGCTTGCCTGCCAGCCTAGATTAAGCAGGCTGCAGGTTTTGTTCCTTAGGTCACTGAAGGACCCCAGTTTTGTTCTCTTTGGACTGAAGTGACAGAAAAGTCCCATATCCAATATCTGGAAAGGTGCTCAGGGCCCAGGATCCTCCTCAGGGCAGCAAAGCTGCTCATCAGTCCCAGTGGGTCTTTGGTCAAGGCCTCTGAATGTGGGCTAAGGAGCTCCCTGGAGCCCACATCCCAGTCACAGGGTGGCCAGTCTCTGCACCCATCCTCTGACCCTCCACACAGAGGGGCATGTTAGCAGTGAGCAATGCCCCATAAGAAACTGGAAGAGAAATGAGGTGTCACACCTGACCTTTCCTACAGGCCAGCTCCAGATCTACTGTACAAGGACAGGGACTGCAGCTCAAGGCTCACTGCCTGCCCTTCCTCCCCAGCCACTCTCATGCTATCTGGCTGATTCTTCTACCTGAAATGTCACTGCTTTTTCTCTGAGCCACACAGCACAGACCTCACCTCTTGGGAGGGTGCCCCACTCATGGCTGGGGATCTCCTCTGCTGGAATTCCCTCAGCCACAACCTTTGAGTTCTGCGGCACCAGATACCATGTCTTGTTCATCCCCCATCCTTGCATTCAGTATACAATGGGTTCTTGTTGAATGCCTGTGAAATGAGCACACAACAACAGAACAAATGAGTGAACTAATGCACACACAGAGGGTTTGTGTATATATGAGCCAGTTATTACTGCATATCAAATTAACCCAGAACTTAGTGGCTTAAAACAACAATAATTATGTATTATCTCTCACAGTTTCTATGAGTCAGGAATTCAGACAGGGCACAGCAGGGGCAGCGTCTGTATTCTAGAATGTTTGGGCCCTCAGCCGGAAGACTTTGAAGGCTGGGAGCTTGAATCATTTAAAGCAGGGGTTGGCAAATTATGGCCCATGGCCAAATTCGGCCCACTACCTGGTCTTATAAATAAAGTTTTCCTGGAATGCAGTCTCACCCATTCATTTCTGGGTCTGTCTGCACTTGAAAGACAGACATCAGTAGATGTAGTAGATATTGGAAGCAAAACCTAAAATATTTGCTGTCTGGCCTCTTAAGGGAAAAGTTTCCTAGCTGTTGGATTGTAAAGATGGCTCATTGAGGTGTCAAGTGATTGACAGATCAGCTGTGAGCCTAGCTGGGACTATCAGCTGGACATCCAGGCATGGCCTCTTCATGTGACCTGGGCTTCCTTACAACATGGTGACTGAGTTCAAGGGCATGTGTTCTGACATTGAGCAAGCCAGGCAACCCTAGCAGGCCAGCAAGATTTGATCTGTGAGGAATACAAGTACCAGGACAGTAGTACTGCAGGGCAGAGGACTTGCTTGGCAAGAGGTGCCAAGCCATGAGGGCATTGTTTAGGGGAAAGGGTGGGAGGAGCTCCTTTGAGTGGAGACATTGCACACATGAGCTACTTGAGTGTTTCTCCAATATGGAGTTGACCAACAGGTGAATAGAAGTTCAGGCCAGGGGTCCCCTTGCAGAGGGACTTGGACAGCAGGCTGAGGAACTTGGGACTTCATCTTGAGGGTCCCAGGGAAGCACTAAAGGTTTTTAACAGGGTCAGAATTGTGCTGTAGAAATAGCACTGTGACTGCTATGTGAGAAGGGATTGATTAAAGGGGGAGAAAGTGGAGCAGAGAGACTAGGCTGCTGAGTGGGTAGAAGGCATCAGTGGGGATGGAGGGAAGGGACGGACTCAGGAAGAATGAAGGAGATGAGGGCAGCAGGACTCGGGCTTGAGTGCACATGGGGGATATAAGGATGGCTCTGTGACTGCGGGTAGCAGTGGGCCTGCAGGGTTTGGACTTCTGCTCTAGCCTCAGGGCTGAAACTACCAGTGTGGCAGGTGCTGAGGAGCATGCAGCAGCCAAAGCCCTCAAACAGAAGGCTCTTCCCGGGAGCAGGCAGGAAGGAGAGGGAGCCAGGGAGGGAGGGTGGCACAGTGTCAAGGAGGATGGTTGAAGAGTAGTCAGGAGGAGGGCAGGGGTCACATGAGGAGCAGGTATCTCTCAAGTGCCACAGAGAACTGTGCATGGCAGGAAGGGACCAAGCAATTTATTTAGCAGAGTGGGAGACTCAAGGGAGGACCAATGCCTTGGCAGGTAGGACGTTGGCGGGAGTGTGGCAATCCAGCACTGGGGYAGAAATGTTTCCACAGATTGAGGAGAAGTGKGGGGGGGGGTGCAGAGAAACTCATTAGAGGCCGCTGCACGTGAAGGAGACATGGGCAGGCACTCGAAAAGACACACTCCTGTTGAGATACACCCTCTACCCCAAAGGCCAAATTTTGATACCTGAAGGAATACGGTTGGTTTGAACTTAATAGTTGGTCATAAAAAGAACCCTGAAAGGCCACCAACCCATGAGGTTTGTGAACACTCACATCTAGAGGTGGGACATCTGTCTGCGTTACTGGGAGACCAGAGGCCTGTGATGGGTTTTATCCCATGGCCCCCTGCTCCTCACTGCTCTGACCTTCCTGCCCCACCCACACTGTGTCTGAGCTCATAGCCATGTGACCAGAAAAGGTTAACAGGTTAACGGGCTCTCTTCTCTCGCCCCATTGTGTTTTTTTCTTTTGGTTTGTTTTCTCTGCAGGTTCCAGTGCCCCCAGTTGCCCGAATATTTCAAGTTAGTTTCCAAAGTTCCCACGCTTCGGGAAACTTTGGCTTTGGTGTCGTTTCCATTTCTCTACTTTTCTCACCCCATCGCCTCCTACCTTCCTTGTTCATTTCTCTCCTTTCCTCTCTTCTCTCCCCTCCTGGGCGTCTCCTCATCTCTCTCCTTCGCCCCCTTCCTCTCTTCCCACCTCGTGACCTCCACTTCTCTTTTCTGCCTTCTTTCTCAGTCTGATAGCTCTCAGGGTGCCTCTCCCTCCTGTATCCTTGTCTCTCTCTCTCCATCTTCCTCCTCATCTCAGTTTCTCTCTGTGTATTCCTTCTGGGTCTCTCTGCCATTGTCTGTACTTCACAAACACTCCATCCACACACTCTGTGTCTGGGACAACAGTGTCACCCAGTCTCTTGTAGTGACCGGCGCCAGTGAGGGGCAGGAGGGCAGTCCCCAGGCAGGTGTGGTGGGAACCCAGCTTCCACCTATCAGCTGCCGCCAACCTGGGCTTCTAATATGAGCCCAGGAGGGAGGAAGCCTCCCGTTCCTCTTAAGCAGACCTGCCAGGCAGAGCCCTGGTGCCCCCACTCAGCACAGTGTCACCTGACATGCTTCCACGTGTTCACAGCATATGTACTTCCCCCTCTGTCCTCTCCACCCTCTGGCCACTGTGTGCTCCTCCATCCCTGTTGCCGCATGTGCTGCCGTCTCCATGCCACCAGTGCCAAGTGCTCCATGGTCCCAGTGTTCACGTGTGCACATACATGCATCAGGGCTGTCTCCACCATCCTGCTCAAGCCTCATGTTAACTGCCTGTGTGTGCCCTGCCTCTCCAGGTATGCGAGACCACCCACCCATCCCCATCACCGATCTGGCAGACAACATTGAACGCCTCAAAGCCAATGATGGCCTCAAGTTCTCCCAGGAGTATGAGGTGAGACATAACCCTGTCCCATGTGGCTGGGCGGGGGCCTACCCCATAACAGCTCCTATCTTGTCCCAGGTCAAAGCAGTGGTTAGGGTTCCAGGTTTTCCTGGTATACAGAGAGGAATGACAGCTGGGGAACTGGCCTCAGGTGCTGAGTCTAGCCAAGGCCCTGCCCAGACCTTCTGGTGGTTACCTAGGAGATGCTTTAGCAATATGCTGGGTGCTCACACACGTACCCTGATGCTAACAGAGGCAGACACAGGGTACAGACCCAGATCAGTAACAAGAGCCACAATAGCTGGCTTTTGTCAAGAGCTTACTGCAGGCCAACATTGGCTGAGCACCAAGCATCATCATCTCACTCCCCGCATAACCTTCKGAGGTGGTACTATATTACTGTCCCCTCAGGTGAGGAAGTGGGCCTCAGAGAGGGAAAGTGACTTGCCCACAGTAAAACAGCTGATGAGTAGTGGAGCTGGGATTCCAACTCAGGCCTACCTGACAGCCTGTGCCTGCACTGCATGACCATTCTACCCACACACTTGATGCCTGGGACAGCAGAGTGCTGAGCCTCCCATGGTGACTGCACCCACGAGGGTTAAGAGAGCTGTCCCCAGGCAGGTGTGGTGGAAGCCCAGCTTTTATCCCGTCAGCTGTCACCCACCTGTGCTCACATGTGCACTCGCAGTGCACAGCTCGCAGATGAAGAGCCAGGGGCTCAGGCCCTGCTCTTCAGACCCTCCTTGTGCTCACCTCACTCTGGCCTGTTGGTGGCTCAGATTTCAGGGTCTGAGGGCTTCTACCTGACTCGCAGCTGGTGGCAGGAGATGACTCTGAATGTTTCTAGGCCGTCCAGCTTGGGAGGGACTTTGTTAAAGAAGGCAATAATAAAGGAGAGGCCCATCTCCTGTAGTAAGCATGGAGAGGTCTTTTCTGCCTTGTCCATCACTCTTTCCCAGCATCTGAYATGGACCTCAAAACACTATTGACATATAAGTGATGGGTGAGTTGGTTCAGCCTAACCTGAGAGTTTGCTCCCCTTTCAGTCAGATGTTCACCCTCAGTTGTGTTTGGGGAAGTGTCCCAGGATACCAAGGTTGCATTTCTAAGGGCCATGAGGCCAGACAGATTTCCAGCGTSTTAAGCCAGGTTTCCAAAGAGAAAATCAAGCTTGGCAGGCAGACATATGAACACTCCTTCTTCAAAGGAACCATGCTGCCTCTATGGTAGGGCACCCACTGCGGCCTGCTTTCTAGGTGGCCTCACTGCAAGTAACAAGCTCATAATTGGGGCTTGTCTGCTCATTATCTGTCTGTCTGACCAGAAGTGGTCTTCCACCTGGACTCATCTATGCCATGTCCCATCCCTGCCCTTCTTCTGATGAGGATGGGCCTCACTGTGTAAGCTCACAAGACCTCTGATCACAGCAATCCCCCTGCCACCTACTACCTGTTCTGTCCTCTTCTCTGGGTTATCCTGTAAAACCTTCTTCTACCCAGAAGTCCACTCTGGCCACTCAAGGCTGCTTAGGGCTCTCCCTCAGCCAGGATCCCAGAGCTCTCTCATCCTTAACATTCTGTTAGTCTTTTATCACATTTGCAAGCACTAAAGTGTATGCCACTCCCTGTGCTGGGTGCTGGGGATATGGAGACAAATGCTCTTAGGACCCAATCAGTTGGGAAACACGCAGGCAGGTAATTAGCATTGAATGTGTGACCAAATCCATATGTCTTTGTATTAAGTATGACCAACATGCACAGAGAAGGGAGGTTGAAAGCACTGAGGTAGTCCAAGCGTYGGGCTGTGCTTGGAGGTCTCTTGTAGCACTGGCACTGTCCCCTGGAGTGTGTCARGGCTGGGACCAAAATATGAAAGATGCTGCATGCAATGCAGAGTACTATGGAATGTATTCATCTGTAAAATGAGGCTTATGACAGAACCCATCTCATATAGAATTAGATGAGAAAATACGGAGTACTCACGACAGTGCCAGGCACACCAGAAGCTCCCATTGACAGTTAGCTATTACCATTACTGCTGAGGCAATAGAGAGCATGGAGCCTTTTAAGCAGRAAATTGATATTCAGATCTGYATTTTTGAAATGTCTGAAGGGTCATTAAGAGTGGGTCAGAATGGAGGAAGAGGGAGGGTGATGGCAACAGGTTGGAGAGCTGAGGAGGGGAGGAGCACCAGAATGCTGGTCAATAGGAGGGGCTGTGAGGAGGTTTTGAGGTAGACTTGGCAGGTGCTGGCCTGGGCTTCTGGGATATGGATGATAGTGCCATCCACTAAGGTGGAGTCCCACCAGCAGAGCAGATTTGGCAGGGAAGCTAATGAATGTGGCTTTGAATTAAGACTGAAGGGCCAATGAGTTCCTTGTCCAGGAGGCTGCCAGGTACTCAGGAAAGAGCTCCTGGGCAGCAGCCAGGGTCTTGGACAGCTCCAGCATACAAGTGCAAGAATCCTGCCAGCAGTGGGGGTCATTCAGGAAAGGGGACAGAGTGAGGAGAGGGCCTGGGAGAATCCCTGGAGGAAGCTGTATCCAACCTGCAGATGGGCAAGCACTGGGGAGCAGATGGAGAAGAAACAGCTGAAGAGGCAGAAGAGAGCCAGGCAAGGTGGTGCACAGTGTCCAGGGCACTCARTAGTTTTCAGTCTGGCCAAGGGTGCTGCTATTGCTTCCATCTGTCTGTGCCCATTTCATTCATAGAATGCACAGTCCTCTCCCCTGGCCACCCCAGTGTACTCTACCAAACAAGGAGATCTGGTGCCATGGTTAAAGGACTCCTCGGTGCATCACTTTCCTGATTAGGAGATTTGGCAACTCCGTGGCTGTGGCTAGGGGTGCTGCTCAGCTTTACCAGCAACATTGGTAGAGGGCTAGTGCAGCTTTCAAAGTGAAGAYAGGATGTAAGCACAGCTTGGAAGGCAGGGTCTCCTAGCAGGGGGTAAGTGTCCCTCTGCTCACCCCTCACTCCACCTGCTTTTTCTGTCCCCCGCAGTCCATTGACCCTGGACAGCAGTTCACGTGGGAGAATTCCAACCTGGAGGTGAACAAGCCCAAAAACCGCTACGCAAATGTCATTGCCTACGACCACTCTCGAGTCATCCTTACCTCCATCGATGGTGAGCCAAGGGCAGAGCCTCCTCCCAGCCCTTGTTCACCTCCCCCTTGCTATCTGGGCTGACTCATGCTATGGAGGCCATCCCTGAGTCTCGAGTGCACTGAGGCATGGTACTCTTGTCTAGGGGCRCTTAGTAAATGCTCTGCCATATCCCCTTCCTTCTGTAGGTGTCCCGGGGAGTGACTACATCAATGCCAATTACATCGATGGCTATCGCAAGCAGAACGCCTACATTGCCACACAGGGCCCACTACCTGAGACCATGGGTGATTTCTGGCGGATGGTGTGGGAACAGCGTACAGCCACTGTGGTCATGATGACGCGGCTGGAGGAGAAGTCCCGGGTGAGACTGAAGGGCCCTGCTAGGAGGTGGACAGGAAATAACTCAGCCAGCAGGTGACATCRGACACCTTATTCTGTCCCTGTGGGTAGACGTTCCTCAAGGGATTCCCCAAGCACTGTTGCTTTCCTGGAGTACTGTCATGTTCCCTAGGTATTGGGGTGTTCCTGGGATGTAGCATGTTCCCCAGATGCYAGTGGGTTCCTAGGATATTAATGTGTTTCACCAAATGCTGTCATTTACTGGAATGCTAATATGTTCCCCAGTTGCTGGCTAGTTCCCAGGGTGTTCACATGTTCCCCAGATGCTGGAGTGTTCCTGGGGCATTAACACATCTCCTCAGTTAATTAGTGGAAGGAGCTGCTGTTATCTGCTTTTGCACTGCAAACCATTGACTGGAACATAAAATTTACAGAGCTTGAAAATGGGGCATAAACGTTATGGGTAAATTTGGCAGAAAATGTGCCTGGTTCGATCTGGTCTTGAATAAATAATTTTCAATTATGGCCTTCATTCCACCAGTGAGGGCAAGGGTAGTGACATAGTGTGATGAGGCTTGATGAGGGAGAGAGGAAATGATTTGTGTGTATGTGTGTGCACACGCATGTCTCTGTGTGGGACGGCAAGACACCAGGAATTGAACCCAGGGGCACTTTATCATTATATCCTCAACCTTTAAAAAATTTTTTWAATATTTTTTTAGTTGTAGATGGACAYAATACCTTTATTTTATTTGTTTATTTATATATGGTGCCAGGGATCAAACTCAGTGCCTCACGCATGCTAGGCAAGCGCTCCACCACTGAGCCACAATTCCAGCCGTTAATTTATTTTTATTTTTTTATTTTAAGACAGGTTGTGGGCTGGGGATGTGGCTCAAGCGGTAGCGCGCTTGCGTAGCATGCGTGCGGCCCGGGTTCGATCCTCAGCACCACATACCAACAAAGATGTTGTGTCCGCCGAGAACTAAAAAAATAAAAAAATATTAAAAATTCTCTCTCTCTCTCTCTCTCTCTCCTCACTCTCTCTCTTTAAAAAAAAAAAGACAGGTTGTTACTAAGTTGCTAAGGCTGTTCTCAAACTTGGCAATCCTTCTACATCAGCCTCCTCCCATGTCACTGGGATATGCCACTGTGCCCAGCAGGACAGTGGATTTGAGAATTCAGGGCTGGAGGATCTTTTAACCAATAGGCTGGGCCTTCCTCTCTGCTTCTGCCTGCCTGGGCCTTTGTGTACTCTCTGACATCATCACCTGTGCCCTGCTCCCTGCTTTATATTTCCCTCTGCAGGTGAAGTGTGATCAGTACTGGCCAGCTCGTGGCACTGAGACTTACGGCCTCATTCAGGTGACTCTGCTGGACACTGTGGAGCTGGCCACATATACTATGCGCACCTTTGCTCTCCACAAGGTATGACTCTGCCATGGTACTTGTCCATATAAGGACAGAGGCCTGAGTATGGTGGGTTAGAGTTGGGGACCAGTGTAGGTATCAGAGGGTCAAGGACTGGGGTGGGGGTTGTGGGGGGTGATACAAGAACTTCCTCAACTTCTTCAGGGYGCCTTGTATGGTTTCTGAATCTATCCAAGAGTGTTGAGTCTGGCCCTGGGTGTGTGGCAGGCAGACTCCTAGTCACTGCATCTCTCCTGACTTTGCTCCCCAGAGTGGCTCTAGTGAGAAGCGTGAGCTACGTCAGTTCCAGTTTATGGCCTGGCCAGACCATGGGGTTCCCGAGTACCCAACTCCCATCCTAGCCTTCCTGAGACGGGTCAAAGCCTGCAACCCACTAGATGCAGGGCCTATGGTGGTACACTGCAGGTGAGAGGGTATGGTGCCACCAGAGGGAGTGGGGTGGGAGGCAGGGACCTCCAACCCAAGCTGAGCCCATGTCCTGCAGTGCTGGTGTGGGCCGTACTGGCTGCTTCATCGTTATCGATGCCATGCTGGAACGAATGAAGCATGAAAAGACAGTTGACATCTATGGCCATGTGACATGCATGAGATCGCAGAGAAACTATATGGTGCAGACAGAGGACCAGTATGTGTTCATCCATGAGGCGCTGTTGGAGGCTGCCACATGTGGACACACAGAGGTGCCTGCCCGCAACCTCTACGCCCATATCCAGAAGCTGGGCCAAGTGCCTCCAGGGGAGAGTGTGACTGCCATGGAGCTCGAATTCAAGGTAGGGCTCCAGTGGGCCTGAACTGGGTTATACAGAACCCCCGTGGCTCCCCAAGGACGCCATACCTGATCAGACCCTTCCTGTCAATAGTTGCTGGCCAGCTCCAAGGCCCACACATCTCGCTTCATCAGTGCCAACCTGCCCTGCAACAAGTTCAAGAACCGCCTGGTGAACATCATGCCCTATGAACTGACCCGGGTGTGTCTGCAGCCCATCCGTGGTGTGGAAGGCTCTGACTATATCAATGCCAGCTTCCTGGATGGCTATAGGTCAGCAGGCTTGTCCCTGCCACACCATGCACTTTAGTGCCCAGGCCTGAGCCTGGCTGGTGGGGATGAGGGGAAACATGGTAGGGCCAACCCAGAAGACCAGAGTGGGCCGAGTAAAGCAGGGAGGGCTTCCTAGAGGAGGGGTGCTCTGTGCAGGGCCCCAAGGGACCAGGCAATCTCAGGGGAGACTGGGGGCAGCAGCACCTCCAGCATGTTTAGTGTTATGTCCACCCAGACAGCAGAAGGCCTACATAGCTACACAGGGGCCTCTGGCAGAGAGCACCGAGGACTTCTGGCGCATGCTATGGGAGCACAATTCCACCATCATCGTCATGCTGACCAAACTTCGGGAGATGGGCAGGGTGAGCCCACCCCTTCCCCTAAGGACCCAGCCACCCTTGGGAGAGACACCCCTTTTGTTACTCTCCATGTAACAAGGAGATTTTCATACCCCAACCTCCATCAGCATTAGCCTCAGACCCCACCTTCTCACCACCTGAGGCATCCTGTCCTACAGTCCTCTGAAACCTGGTGCTGCCTTCCTCCTTCCTCCCCACCTGATCATGGGGGCTGGGCCCTGTGTCCACAGGAGAAGTGCCACCAGTACTGGCCAGCAGAGCGTTCTGCTCGCTACCAGTACTTTGTTGTCGACCCGATGGCTGAGTACAACATGCCCCAATACATCCTGCGTGAGTTCAAAGTCACAGATGCTCGGGTGAGTATTGGTTAGAGACTATTATTCACACAAAAGGACCACACTGCCTGAGCAGATGTGGGCAGGGGCTGCCCTCACAGTACCTTAACTACAGGAATCAAAAGAGAGTGTAGGTTTGGGARTGTGCACCTATCTTCCTGGGTGGCTTCATGGGTAATGACTTCAAGAGTGCATGCCTGTGTTATTGTACTCCCCCAACCTGGCCCAGAGGGACTGTAGCCTAAGACACAAATTTAAACCCTGTACCTTGCCCACCTCTCCCAGGATGGGCAGTCGAGGACAATCCGGCAGTTCCAGTTCACAGACTGGCCAGAGCAGGGTGTTCCCAAGACAGGAGAGGGCTTCATAGACTTCATCGGGCAAGTGCACAAGACCAAGGAGCAGTTTGGGCAGGACGGTCCCATCACAGTACACTGCAGGTGGGGCTGTCCCCATCAGGGCTGGGGGTGGGCCTGAAAGCCTGGCATACCACTGCCAGAGGTGAGCAGAATTTCTGACCTGGCTCTTCTCTGAGTAGTGCTGGTGTGGGCCGCACGGGAGTATTCATCACTCTGAGTATTGTCCTGGAACGCATGCGCTACGAGGGTGTGGTTGACATGTTCCAGACTGTGAAGACCCTGCGCACACAGCGTCCTGCAATGGTGCAGACAGAGGTATGTAGACCAATGTGCAGGGCTAAAGTCTCCCTGACAGCCCTCCCTGCAACCCTAGGCTGTGGCTGCAGTTGGACATACACGGGCACAAGGGTTRGTTCGTGCTACAGATGTGTACCAATGCCTGTTCTGATTAAGGTGCAGGGGAGAAATGAGTGAGATGTGTTCCTTTATTCAGTAGCTCTGAACTCGTAGTGTGTCTCTGGTTAGGGTTGGACACTGCACTGTATAGAAGCAGATAAACATGATTGGAGTGGCAGGTAAAACAGGTAGATACAGGGGCCTGGGAGAGGGAAGGGAGAGAGAACAGCCTTGAGAGGCTCTTTTAGGCCCCTGGATAGTGCCTAGGGCAACTCTCAGGGTATAGCGCCTGCTCTTGGCCAGAAGACACTGATTCCCTAGGCCATGGGCTGCAGCGTGAGTGCCCTCTCAACAGTGTGGTTTGGGATATCCGTTGGCACTGCCTACACTGACCAGTCACTCTGTCCCGGCAGGACCAGTACCAGCTGTGCTACCGTGCGGCCCTGGAGTACCTCGGCAGCTTTGACCACTATGCAACGTAACTACTGCTCCCCTCTCCTCCGCTGTCCCCACTAGGGGGCTATGGAGGGGACCCAGCTCCTCTGAGCCATACCGACCATCGTCCAGCCCTCCTGCACGGATGCTGTTGCCGGCAAAGCACAGTCCACTGGGATCACAGCGTTTAAGGAACATTGCCACACCAATCAGAGTCCAGAACACCCCTGGGCTAGTGGGCGGACCGGCAGGCAGGCTCTCTGTCCACCAGGCCCAACTGGAGCCTGCTTCAAGCTCTCTGTTCAGTTCCGCGTTTCTCATGCTTCTCATGGGGTGGGGATGGGGGCAAAGCCTCCTTTTTATACATTAGGTGGGGTAGACTGAGGGATCCTAGCCTCTTCCCTCTGATTTTTCCTTTTGCAAATCCTTAACTGCAGAATGGGCCATTTTAGGGTTTGGGGCTCATTTTTTTTCCTTTTTGAGTTCACTTTGGACCCTTTTTTTTTTTTTTTTTTTTTTTTTTTTTTTTTTTTTTTTTTTTTTTTTTTTTTTTTTTTTTTTTTTCTTATAATGCTGAAGGACAGAACTTGCCTTGCCTTCCTCATGTGGAGCTGGACCACTAGCCTGAGCAAGGCTTGACTATGGACCCGGGAGTGGCACAGGTCGGGCTGCTCCTCCAGCCCTTCAGAGGAGATCCTGTTCCAGCCAAATGCAGGGAAACACAGTTTTGCTTTTTTGCTTTTTGTTTTTTGTTTTCTGGGTTTTTTTTCCTTTTTTTCTTTTCTTCTAGGTTTTGTTTTGTTTTTCTTTTAAGAGTCTTTTTTAGGCCCCACAGACAGTGGTGGGCGGGGAGGCGATAGGAAACACATCCCCAGTCGTCTGTTCCAGTGTGTGTTTAACATTCACAGCCCACAACCACAGACGTGTCTGAGGGAGCCTAGCAAGGCATTCCTCATCACCATCGTGTTTGCAAAGGTTAAAAAGAAACAAACAAACATTTAAAAAAAAAAAAAGGAAGAAGAAGGAATGAAAGAGAAAACCAGAGAGTCATCCCCTGGCCTCTGCTTCAAACCCCCAAGAGGGAAGTGACTCTGTGCATCTGAGGCTACCCAGGGGCTCGCAGAGCCTTGCTGTTGTCCCCAGCATTGCGGTAGGGCTGGCATTTGTAGGCTGTGGAGTCTGGCCACATGGCCAAGCAAATGGCACAGGTCAGGGTCTGTGTCACGCCCCACACACCTCAGGGCCCAGCGGGGGCGTGGCTGGCCCTTCAGGTCCAGGCCAGTGGGCCTGGTAGCACATATCTGTCCTCAGCAGGGGCCAGATGATTTTCCTTCCTGGTTTGCAGCTGTTTTCAAAGCCCCTGAGAATTGCTCTTTTCCACTCCTTCAAGATGCCCTCATAAACCAATGTGGCAAGACTACTGGACTTCTATCAATGGTACTATAATCAAACTTATTATCTCAGCTTGCTGAGGGGCAGGGAGAGGGCCTCTTCCTCTGGGCAGCACTATCTAGATAGGTAAGTGGGGGCGGGGAAGGGTGCATAGCTGTTTTAGCCAAGGGACATGATGCCGAGGTCCCCAGGTCTAGCTAGGCTAAGTCAAGATCAACAATCCAGGGTTGGTAATGTTGGATGAAACATTCATTTTTACCTTGTGGATGCTAGTGCTGTAGAGTTCACTGTTGTACACAGTCTGTTTTCTATTTGTTAAGAAAAACTACAGCATCATTGCATAATTCTTGATGGTAATAAATTTGAATAATCAGATTTCTTACAAACTGGGCTTCCCGTCTCACCTCTTTTGGGATCCAAAGAATCTGGACTCTRAGTCAGTAGCATGGGTTCTGGAGATTGCCTGCTCTTGAGAGGACAGTGAGGCTATCCTGAGTATTTGTGACAGGGCTGGCTCCTGTCATGGCTGTCTCTTCAGCCCTGAAAATGGAGCCACCAAGAGTCAGGCCTGAACCACCCTGGAATTGGGAGTACACTCTTCAACTCTCTTCCTCTTGGGATGCTATAGGTTGTCATATTGGGGATACTGGGCTTCCCCTTCTAGAAGCCATATTCCCCCTCTACAATCACCTCCTTCCTTTCTTTCTCCCCTAAAGGGCAGGATGGCCCTATGGCATAAAAACCTGTGACCATGCTGGGTGTGGTGGCACATGCCTATAATCCCAGCAGCTGGGGAGGCTGAGGCAGAAGGGTTGCAAGTTTGAGGCCAATATCAGCAACTTGGCGAGACCCTGTCTCAAAATTTAAAAAAATAAAAAGGACTACAATGTAGCTCAATGTTAAAGCACCCCTGGGTTCAATCCCCAATACAATAATAACAACCACTTTCATGGGTAAACTGGTTAATGAGGACTCTTCTAATTTTTGCAGTGTGGATACTGGATGCCAAAAACTATAAGGTGATGTGGCCCCTAAATACACAGCAACATCTACTGATTGAGCCCTATGGCCTCCCCACTGGTGATCAGACAAGTCCTTCCTGGCTATAAAATTATGGAACTTCTAGGGATTCAGGGATAGAAACCCAGAACAAGTGAGGAAGAGAAATTCCTAAGTCAGCAGTAACACTTAAAAGAGAACATCGTGACGTAGTCCATTGGCCTGTCGCAGAGATGCCGTGAGTATACTAAGGCAGTACCTGACCCAGGGCAAGGCTTCCTGGAGAAAGTGACATTAGCTGGATTCAGGCTGCTTCATAGGGTGAGTAGTGCTTAGATTTAAACGATGGGTAAAACATTCCCAACAGAGGACATAACCTGTGCAAAGGCTCAGAAGCATGGAAGAAATCAAACACCAAACTCAGGAAGTACAATGTGACTGAGGTAGAGACACTGGCCTAGAAAGTGAGCTGGGTGGAGTCGAGGGGTCCTCTAAGGGGACTGCTTTGACTTAAAGGGATGCAGGTCCCCCAGACAAGTGAAGTACCTCTCTAACATCTAAGTTCCTCGCCACATTCTGGTATTGGCAACTGTCTCCTGGGGCTGTGAGTGATGGAGGCTTGACACCAGGTCCCTTCTTAGTATCCGTAGCACCTAGTTCAGTGCCTGGCATATTTCTATTCATTCAAGGAAAAGACACCACCATTACATGATTCATTAAATTTGATACATAAAAGTGTGAAAACTTTAGGTTTGGTTCAATGATAGAGTGCTTTACCCAGCATGCATGAAGCCTTGGGTTCAATCCCCAGCACTCCCCCAACACCACCAAAAAAAAAAAAAAAAAAGACATTAAACATCTTCAGGTAAAGGATAAACATGAAATTTTCACTTGAGAGACATCAGTATTCAGAACACCCCAGGCAGGCTCTGGGCTAAGTGCTTTATGGACTGATTGCTAACCCAAGGGTAGAATAGACTCCTCTTTCCCCTTCACAGGTGAGGCAACAGGCTCAAGTGGAGTTACGGTCAAGAGACCACAGCAGAGGAACACCAGAGTTGGGACCATTACCCACTGATACCTGCTCCAGAGACCCTTTTCCATCACCCAGTGTCAGCCCTCCTTCCCCTGCCCTCTTAGACCATCCCTATCTCCAGACCACTCCCCTCACCAGGGCCCCCATCACAGAGTTGGGCATCCCAGCCAGTCAGCTTTCCTATCAGACATCTCTTCCTTACCTTTACATTCAACTCAAGTCAAACTCTGTCATTTGGCCTCCACTTGGCACCTCTTCAACTGTCAATATTTCTATTCTTTCTGTCTCAAGCCACCCTCTTACCTGGACTGCTGTCATGTCACCTCCCTGGTCTGCCTGCCCACAGTCCTGCCGGGCCAACCCATTCTCAACATAGCAGCTATGGCAATACTTCTCTCAGGGCAGTCATGACCAAGACAATGTCCTGAGGAGAAGAAAATATTTTAATAGAAAGGAAAAATTTGTTTCATCAACTCATTCAACAAATAATAGCTAATGAGCATTTGCCATGTGGCAGTTACCCTCTGGGTACTTGAAACAAATAACATCGGTGAACTGAACAGACTGCTGTTCTTGGGGCATGCATAGTCTAAAATTAGGAAACATGACACATAGGAAAAATAGCAAATAGGAATGGGGATATAGCTCAGTTGGTAGAGGACTTGCCTCACRTGCACAAGGCCCTAGGTTCAGTCCCCAGTGCCACAAGAAAAAAAAAGGGTTGGGGATATAGCTCAGTTGGTAGAGTGCTTGCTTCGCATTCACAAGGCCCTGAGTTCAATCACCAGCACCACCAAAAAGAAAGGGGAAAAAAATATTYATATATATGTATTTATAGTTTGTTAAATGGTGATAAGTGCCATGGTATTGGGGAGTGGGGCAGGGTACAATAAGAAGGACCAGGCACGTGGGGTAATAAGGGGAACCCTCATTGAAAAGATGGGATTTGAGGGGCTGGGGTATAGCTCAGTGGCAGAGTGCCTAGCATGCATGAGGCACTAGGTTCGATCCTCAGCACCACATAAAAATAAACAAAGGCATTCTGGACTGCTGTCATGTCACCTCCCTTGTCTGCCTGCCCACAGCCCTGCCCAGGCCAACCCATTCTCAAYGTCGTAGCAGCTGTGGCAATACTCCTCTCAAGGCAGTCATGACCAAGACAATGTCCTGAGGAGAAGAAAATATTTTAATAGAAAGGAAAAATTTGTTTCATCAACTCATTCAACAAATAATAGCTAGTGAGCATTAGCATTACAACTACAAAAAAAWTTTTTTTAAAGATAGGATATGGGCTGGGCCCAGTGGAGCACATCTATAATCCCAGCAGCTCAGAAAGCTGAGGCAGGAGGATGATGAGTTCAAAGCTAGCCTTAGTAACACACACACACACACACACATATCCAGACAGAAGGGTCAACTAAAGCAAAGGCACTGGGCAGGAATGTRCCTGATAAAGCTGGTGTGGCTGTGACACTGAGCAAGGGAATGAGTAGCAAGGGAGAGGTTCCAGAGTATAGAAGTCCAGGTGTGAGAGGCCAGATTTTATTATCTTGAAGGCAAAGCTGAGAGGAATAACTGATGGATTGGATGAGAAAAAGGAATCAGGGTTGACCCCACAGTTTAGACCTGAGCAGCTAGAAGGATAAAGTCAGCATTGATTGGTGGGGAGGCTTTACATATGGGTTAGAAAGCTACTCAGTGGTTCCAACCAGAATTTGGTGGAGTTGGTATCACTTTTCCTTTGGTACTAGGGATTGAACCCAGGGATGCTTTACCACTGTGCCATATCCCCAGCCCTTTTTATTTTTTTATTTTGAGACAGGGTCTCAGTAAGTTGCTTAGGGCCTTGCAAAATTGCTGAGGCTGGCCWTGATCTTGCAATCCTCCTGCCTCAACCTCCCAAGTCACTGGGATTATAGATATGCCCAGCAGGACCAGGTATTACTCTTAGTCTGCCTA